GAAAGACGAATCCCATCTGGTAAAGTCCAGCTCTCCAGATGTGGGTCCACCTTTTAATTGCAAAGACTATAAATCTCATAACAGTGATGTCCAGCTTCTCTTGGTCAAAACTATAAATTCTCGAGTTGATGTTCATCTTCCTTTCTCAAGCTGCTTTTCTCTGTTTTGTTAAGGCATGAGATAAGCATGTTTCCTTTATATATATTCCAAAGCTATAGTTTCAAGGATACAAGCAATATTCTAAAATTATACTTCAAAAGGTTATTATTGCAGAACTCTTTAAGGCTTAACTACAAGCAAAGAGCAACATCCTTAACGCTTTAATTCAAATGCTCCTAAATCAACTAAGGTTAATTGTGAACAAAATATAGGTTCAAAGGCCTTCTTCCATGCTTTACTTTCCTCAGTTATTATTAGAATTTGTCTTTACAACTGTCCCATTGTCAGTCTCCACACATATCATGATCACAAATACACACATTGCCTGCATGTTCCTGACACGAAACACAGCTTTGTATTTCACAACTGCAACATGAGGGAGAACTTTTCATTGAGGATGGCAGAGCACTGGGACAGGCTGCTCAGGGATGTTGTGGAGGCTCCCTCTGTGGAGACACCAACAACTCACCTGGATGTGTTCCTGCATCACCTGCTCCAGGTGACCCTGCCTTGGTTGGGCTGGATGGTCTCCAGGGGTCCCTTCCAACTCTACACAGGTGAGACCCCACCTGCAGGGCTGCATCCAGCTCTGGGGTCCTCAGCACAGGAGGGACACGGCCCTGTTGGAGCGAATCCAGAGGAGGCCACCAAGATGATTAGAGAGGTGGAGCACCATTCCTATGAAGAAAGGCTGAGGGAATTGGGATTATTCAGCCCGCAGAAGAGAAGGCTTCCAGGTGACTTAATTGTACCCTTCTAGTACCTGCAAGAAAGATGGAGACAGATTTTTTTACAAGAGAATGTAGTGACAGGACAAGGAGGAATGGCTTCAAACCAAGAGAGTTTAGGTTTAGGTTAGGTATTAGGAGAATGTTCTTTGCTGTGAGCATGGTAAAATACCAGAACAGATTGAGCAGGGAAGTTGTGGATGCCTCACCTGTGGATGTGTCCAAGGACAGGTTGGATGGAGCTCTGATCAACCTGAAATAGTGGAAGGTGTCCCTGATCTTTAAATATCCCTTCCAATCTCATCCTTTCTGTGATTCTGCAAACTTTGTGTGAATGCAGGTCTGGGTACTGGCAATTGCCTGTCCATAGGCTTGGTTGTGCTCCTGTAGCCTTCACAATGAGGAAATCAAAGAGCATTTTTTGTCCAGATCAAACCATGGTATTTGCCTTGGGAACAAGTGGAACTGGATTTCAGAACTGAACCAGTTCCAGTTGGTCTGGGATTTTATAATAGTCACAGTTCTTGCAGAGGGGGCACTTGTGTTCCTTGAGGCCTGCATGGTTGGGTTTGTGCATATTTAAATGCATATTTAAAAAAAAATGACCTTTAATGCTGCAAGGAGGGAAAAAGGATACAGTGACAGAAGGACAGAGGACATGTGGTCCATATAGTGAAGTATAGTAGAAATGTGGCTGTGAATATTCATTTTTTTTCAATTAGAATGAAGGAACCTTAAAAATAATGCTGCGAGATTATGTGATTGTTTTGAAGCTGACAGTGGAGAGGGAGAAAACATTGATGTAGTTAAATATTTCCATTCTGTGCTTGGGGAAACAGACAAATGTTGCAGGCAGATTGCAGGATGATGAAATACTTTTCCATGGTTCTTAAACAAATACCAGTCAAACAGCAGATATCACTGTGGTTTTGCTTTGAATCATATAGGCAGTTAGTTGAATATTTCCCAATTAGCATTGATAGGAATAGGTTTGAACATTAAAAATTTTCCAGTTTCTCCAATGAGATGTTTCAGACACACAATGTAGATCTCAGAGAACTAACTGAATAATTGTATATATAAGTTCACTTAATAGAAGTTTAATAAAGTCTAAGCAGGTGGTTTTGAAATATACATCTCATCAAGTCAACTTGTTAGGGTTTTTATGTGAATCAAAATCCAGTTAATAAAGATTTAAAGTACTTTACAGATTTGCCAACATAATCATCTTGGGTAGGACATGATCACACGTGACAAAAGCATTGCTGTAGCCTTATCTAGGTCAAGGAAAGGTTTTGTTGACTTTGATTGATGTCTAAATGTGAGAAGGTGGTACCTGTGCCAGCAGAAACACCACTGCTGAGGGCGTGGGCAAAGTGACTCTCCCAGCCTGGCTCTTCTGGCACAAAGCCTGTCCTAGAGAAGGCTCCTGTGAGAGGTTCATTCAGTACTACATGATGCTCTCACTAAAAATCCTAGAAATGCCCAAAACCAAGGCTGTGCATACTGAATAGTAAGAGTCTGGCTACCTGGCAGCATAGAAAATCAGCAGCACTGTGAATATTTCTAAAGGAATTATGCCCCTTGCCACTTCAGTAGTTAGATCAACCCAAAAAAGCTGCCCACACCTTGAGAGCTGATGAAGTTTGTCAGCTGGAGGTAAGTGGTGAGGAGAGGTTACCTTGACTGTGAGAGTCAAGATGGAGATAAGCAAACATGGTTTATTTTAATAGGATGAAGATGGAGATAAGCAAACATGATTTGTTTTAACAGGATGAGGTGAAAGCTTGCACACATTGAAAGAGTATGTGCACTAAAATGTAGCTCCTTTCCAGGAAACAGTGGCTATAAATAATCTCCAAAAATCATGAGAAAAAATCAGGTGGGTCTAAAAGAATTATGTGAATATCCACTCACTCAGAAAAGAAGATACTTTGCTGGATTTGGCTGCAAGGAAATCTAGAGGACACCTACAGATTCTACATTAGGCCAGTATTTGGCACAATTTGAATACTGTGTGCATGTTTGGTGCCAGTAATTGAGGAAACATATAAAAAAAATTGGGAAGAAGAGCTTCAGGAATAAAAAAAAAAAAAGACATGCATTATGTCTGAGATTTAGGAAACATCTACCTGGTTTTGGTTTTGGTAAATCAGTACCAAAGGTGGATTAGTACGTGCACAAATGAAACAGGTACTTTAGAAGGAAAAGTTTTCTGAAGTTTGCTTGCATGGCCTTTACAAGAGAGAGCTCCAACATAATTGTACATGTGGGAGTGTGGTATAAACACAAAAGGAGATTTTGCTTTCCTTTCAAACTGTAGTGATTGTACTTTTTATTCATGTTGGAAAGGGCAGCAGCATTGTGCTTCAGAAGAAAATAAGCCAACATCTCTTGATGTAATGCCAGTGCCACTGACACTTAACCCAAGTATAACCCAATTCCCCCTAAAAAGAGAAATCCAAAGGCACCCCCTGACAGGCCAAAGGATTGGTGCCTTTGGAAAATAAAGTGCCAACACTAACATGGATTTTCTCTCCCTCTTTTTAGTATGTTCTGCCATGGATCTTCTCCACTCCATTGATTCAGTTGAATCAACTTGGTAGTTTAAGATATTTTGGCAAGCAAATGAGATCTTTATGAGCTGGGACATGTGCATGATCTATGCCAGTAACAAGCACGACTCCATCCTTTCAAACTTGTCCAGAAAGAGATTTTTAGATATGTCTGCAAAATGAGCAATGAAGTTAAACAGCAGGGAGGAGAGCTCTTCCCTGGGGAAAAAAAAAACCCAAAACAACCTGTCTAGTCCTGTACCAGCTGGCAGAACACACCTAAAGCTCTGCATCAGTAAACAGTGTCTTCTGTTGGGGCTGACTCTTGCCTCTGAGTAAAAAGCAACTTTAACAGTTGAATAACCTCATTATGTACACCCAGGCCTGTGCCTGCTGCCGAAGTCCAGTATTGCTGAAGGCTTGATCTAAGCCCAGAGGGGTGTAAAGGCTTTCCCAACCTAAAAGCTCCTGTCAGAACCTGGATTCAAAATGTAAAATAAACACCAGATTCCCACTCTGCAACTCTGGGCCGTGACAGCTTTTTCCAGCTTAGGCAGCTTTAGAGTTGCCCAAGAAGTGATGGTGTGCCCAGAACTGCAGGCAGAGAGCCTTTCCAACAAATCTGGGAGTTGCACTAAATTCACCACTGTGAAATATCCTCAGATGTCCAGAGGGGACAGTGACAGGACTAGAGGGCAGAGAGACCAAATTTAGACTAGAAAAGACACCCAATGACAGAATCACAGAATGGGTGTGTGGTGGTGTTCACAGGGGTCCCAGGACCAGGGAAGAGACGAGAATGTTGACTCCATGTTTCAGAAGGCTGGTTTATTATTTTATGATATATATATCATACTAAAACTATACTAAAAGAATAGAGAAACGATTCATCAGAAGGCTTGAAAGGAAAGGTAGGAATGGGATGATAACAAAAGCTCATGACTCTCCAGACAGTCTGAAACAGCTGGACTGTGATTGGCCATTAATTAGAAACAACCAACATGGACCAAGCACAGATCCACCTGTTGCATTCTACAGCAGCAGATAATCATTATTTACATTTTGTTACTGAGGCCTCTCAGCTTCTCAGGAGAAAAAATCCTAAGGAAAGGATTTTTCAGAAAATATCATGGCTACAAGTGTTCTGTCACTTAGCACCACTGAGATGAGCCAGGCACCAGGCTCTTGGCACCTGCCTTGGACACATTTATGGCATTAATGAAACGCCCTCTCAGTCTTCTCTTCTCCAGACTGGCCAGGCCCAGCTCCCGCAGTCTCTCCTCACAGAGAGATGCTCCAGAGGCCTCCTCATCCCTGTGGCTCCGCCGGACCCTCTGCAGCGTCTCCCTTGTGCTGAGGTGCCCAGAGCTGGGCACACTAACGCGCGCCCGTGAAGCCACCCTGAGGCAGTAATTTGGTATTCGGACACTGTCACCCCAATGTTTTATCACGGTGACACCGGAGGGCCCCACCCGCCACATGACGGCACAGAGACGTCACCGCCGTGACGTCACGCGGCTCCACAAGCCGAGCCGTGCGCTGAGGCCACCAAGGAAGCGACATTCAGAGGCTATTTCCCCCTTCCCCGCCGCTGGGAGGGACGCGGGGCCGAACCCTTTTCCTCTTCCCTTCCCATTCCCGTTCCCGTTCCTCTTCCCCTTCCGCCTCCGCACTCCCGGTAACCCGTCCGCCGGCAGGACCCCGCGCGGGGCTGCCCTCCGCGCTGCCTAACCCCCGTCCCTCGGGGAGCGCCGCTCCGCGCCGCCCGCAGCCGCGGCTCCGCCGCCCTGAAGCGGCGCCGCTCCTCCCTTCGCGCCCGGGCGTGGCGGGGCGGGCGTGGAGGGCTCGGTCGGGGCAGTGCCGTGGGTCAGGCAGCGCGGCGGCGGCCCGGTCGCCGTGAGGGGAGAAGCGCTCGGGGGCCTCGGAGGGGCGGAGGAGAAGGAGGAGGCGGCGGCGGCGGCGGCGCCGGGCGGGCCCATGTCGGCACCGGGCACAGGTACCGCGGGCACCGACGGGACGGGAGGGCGGTGCCGGGGCGTGTGTGGGGAAGGGGTCTCGGGGACGGGGGGAGGAGGGCACAGGGGCCTGGCGGGGCCATGGGGAGGGGGGTTCCGGAGGCGGAGGGGCCGTGGGGCTCGGAGTAGGGAAGGCTCGGGTGGCGGTGCCTGGGAGCGCTGGGAGAGGGAGGCCGGGAGAGAAGCGGAAGCTGCTGGTGCCGAGCTGCTGGTGCCATCCGGGAAAGGGCCCGGGCTGCGGGAGAGCTGCGAGCGGGCATTGGGGTGGTAGCCAAGGAGTCTTTCTGGACTTAGTGCCTTGTCTCTAGGCCTCTGTTTCATGGTGGAAAGAGCGTTCCTGCGAGTTTGGCAGCAAAACATTCTCCCCGAGAGGTATAGAAGCGAAAGTAAAAGTGCCCGGCTGTTCGGCAGGCCGGCCAGAAGATGTGTCAGTGGCCTGAAGTTGTGTCAGGGGAGGTTTAGGTGGGATATCAGGAAAAGATTCTTCACCCAGAGGGTGGCTGGGCGCTGGAACAGGCTCCCCAGGGAAGAGGTCACAGCACCAAGCATGTCAGAACTCCAGAAGTGTTTGGACAATGTGCTCAGGCACACGGTGTGACTCTTGGGGATGTCCTGTGCAGTGACAGTAGTTGGACTGCGATGATCCTTGTGGGGCCTTTCTGAGTCAGGATATTCTGTGATTCTGTGAACCTTCCCTGCCACCTGTGTGGGGACTCCTCTCTCTCTGCACTACGGTTTTTGGGGTTTTTTTTTTTTTGTGCTGTGTCTCATTTTCCAAAACCTGTAAGTTTATTTTCTCCTCACTGACCTGGGTATTTTTCTTATGCACCTTCCCTTGCGTTAAGAGAACCTTAATTGAATTTCAGTTTTTGAAATTTACAACCTTCTAGTAGTGTGATAACTAGTGATGGAGGAGTTTGTTGCTCTTTGAGATTTTTCAGCCAGAGGTGAGACACCTTGCCTACATTCATTATCTCCCACATCTCTTTTGTAATAAGAGTAGCTGCAGAAAGGACGATTTATGCAATCCATTTAATTTCTAGTGAAAAATTTCATTGTGTTTAGTTTAATAGAGCTGTATTTCCTTCTCTCAGACTTGTGGTTGCAAGGATAGAGATTCTGGATCATATTACTTCAGGGTTTGAGAGTAGACTGTTTTTATTGACCTGAGAGCATTGCTTTGAGCGCCAAGGTGTTGCTGTTAGTTTTTTTATTCTGAATTGTGAGTAGATTAATGATGCTGAATACCTTATATTACTCTCTGCTTTCCTCAAGAGTAAATAACATAGATGGTTTTTCTTAAATGTTACCTCTATATTTTCAAAACTATTTCCTAAGTCTCTGAGCTCAAGAGTATCAGGAACCCAGTCCCATTCTTTAAAATTTGAAGATTATTGTTTAAAAAGTAGAAACTTAAGTATAGTAAAAATTGACTTAACTTTAAATAAATCACTGTACATCAAATATTGAAAAACTAAGAGAAATAGTTCCCTCTACAAACATGTTGTCTGTAGGTGCTGGAACTGAGAAGAAGGAGTGTTAAAGGATGCAAGTGTCACTATAGAAATGGGCTGCCAGGAGTCCAAAGGCACAGGGATGTTTGTCTTGTCTCTGTTTTCTCTGTCCTTCCCAATTTTCTGGTGTGAGTGCTGGTTTGTCCTGTCTGTTTGCTTATGGAGTTCACATCATTATTATGCCTTTTCATCAGTGCATGAATGTAAATGTGAGCTATTAAATAGAATAAATGTTTCCATGCCATCTTCAGCCTTGTTTCCTATGGAGATGAGGCCCAGGTGAGCCAGCCGTTCCCGTTTTTCCCTGCTTCCCCCAGCTTTTGGGAAAGTTCCTTGTGGGACAGTCCTAGCCCTGCCAGGGGGGCTCTGTGCCGCTGGGAGCTCCGCCTGGCTGGAGCTGCGCGCTCCATCAGCCCGGCTGGAGCTGGAGGCAGCGGCAGCACCGCCTCCTGTGCCCTCGGGCCTTTGGTGTCGGCGCGAACGAGCTGGCAGAGCCATCGGAAAGGTTGGGGAGATAAGGAGCTGTACACGTAGTGGGTAGTGAGAAGGATTGCAGCATACCTGTTCTGGGATACAGAACAGAATGCTGCTGTAAAATGAGATTTTTGGGGTTTTTTTGGACTCCGTTGTTCATTGGGAAAAAGTGGACAATACTGCCTTGTGGTCAAAACCATAACGTTCCAAATGATGCTCCTTCCCTTTTCTTTTTATCCCATCTTCTCAGGTTTGCTTTTATACAAGGAAGCATCAGATACATCTTTAAAACAGAATTCTGAGTTCCTAAATTTAGTAAGAGTAGGAATGACCCTGTTGGTAAATGACCCTGCTGTTAAAAGTTACTTGTTCAGAGTATTGGGATTGTGACATGCTGTTCCAGCATTTCTTTAAACACAGGCGACCCCTTCCCTCTTTGGTTAAGTACTGATTTCATAATAATACTGTTTTAAGAGCAGTGTTTTTGGAATTCAAATAGTTCTGAAATTTTGGAGTTGTAGACATGCATTAGGGAGCCAAGTGTGCATGTTTAAGCAATGCTGATTTGATTTCCATAAGTCCCTGTCAGAGGCATTTCCCTGTTGGTGCTGTTGCCAGCTGCTGCCAGAGGCCAAGTCATGAATAGGCTCCCCATTGCTAGGTTGTCACTGCCCAGGTGTGAGTACTCATTCTGTAAATTTTTGCACACCATTTTTCTTCAGAAAAATGGATGAGCACCTTAAATATTCTAATACAGTTTCATCTGGTGGGATAGACAGTATATAAATATCTCATTTTATTGTTTGGGAGATGGCAGGGGGAATGTCCAATGCTTATTAAGAAACATCTTTATTGTGAAGATTTATTTATACATTTATTTATTTATTTATAAACATATTGCAAAATAGTTAACATTAATACCAGAAGCACTCTACATGAGATTGAAATGCAGGTGTCTCATTATCCACTCTGAGTAGATGCAGGGAATTGGTAAATCTAGGATGTTTTCATAATCCAGAGTAAAATGTTAGGCAAAAGTAGGGGTGGCCATTGGGAATCAAACTGGTGTTACTAAGAAAAACAAAGTCCCACCTATGCCTGCATTTAACTTGAAGCATGTAAGTATGTGAAAATTATTTTTGGTGTTAAGAAATTAATTTAGCCTGAAGTAAAAGCCTGGTGGTTGTAATTGCCTCTCATGGTCCTGCCTGGCCCCCCTGCCCCAGGCAGGAGTCAGCAGAATGCCCTTGCATTCCAGGCTGTGGTACCAGGAGTTGGCAGTAAGGCTGAAGGTGAGTCTCCCCCCTCTGCTCATCATTTACACATCCAGCTGTGGGTTCTCTGTTCCCAACAATGGCATTGACACACTGGAATAAGACCACCAAGACCATGGGGAGGCTGGAGGACATGATATCTGAGGAGAAACACAGAGAACTGGGTTCTTGATCTGTAAGAAAAGTGGGGGAAATCTTATTCCTGTCTTGAAACAACCTAATGGGAGAGCATAGTGAAGATGAAGCTGGCTTCTCCCCCAGGCTGTGCAGGGATAGGATGAAAAGAAGCAAACACAGTATGGGGCATGGCAATTTCCAGGCTGGTATCAGGAAAAGCTTTTTGTCTGTGAGCCCAGAAGGGACCATTGCTTCTCTATTCCTGGGGATACTAAAGCCTTAGCCAAGCCTCTGATCTGCTTGGATCTGCTTGGGGCAGAGGCCTGAAGTCGGTGCTTGTCTCACTTTCCTCCTAATCAAAATTGTCCTGTGGTTTTACCCTTTTGTGTTCAATATGCATTACCTTTTGTGTCCTTATCCAAATGAAACCAAAGCTTGGAGGACTGGAAACCCCAAAGAGGCTAAAGCTCCTACAAAAATGTTGGTTGAGTAGAAGGAGAGAGAAATTGTAGCCTTTGCTAAGTCTTGATAATCACAGCCTTTGTGCTATTATTTCCGTTTGCTCTGCTGGCAGGGAGGTTTGTGCATCCAGCTTAGTCAGCACTGTGCTCTTCAGCTGCTGCCTGTGCTGAGTGCTGGAGATGCTGGGGACATCTGGGAGGGGTGAGGAAACAAGGAAGCAAGTTGAAAATCCTTTTCACAGTGAGGATAATCCAGCACTGGGGCAGGTTGGCCCGAGGAGTTGTGCAGTTTCTTTCCTTGATACTTTTCAGGACTGGAACAGTCTTGTCTGATCTCATTACTGACCCTGCTTTGAGCAGGAGGATGAATCACTTAAGGTCCCATCTAACCTGCATTATCCTATGTGTCCTAAGTTGTGGTAGTGGAAGGGGGAGTGTTCTTGGGAGATGTGTAGAAAGGTCAGTGATGAGCAGATGCAAGCTGATGGATCAAGCATGTACTTATTTTTAAGTTTGGGGTACTTTGTTTTCATCAGTCTTGAATTATTTGCTTTCAGATGGACTTGTTTATGTTCAAGATCTTAAATTCCTTGGGTTGTAGAAACTTCAAGATGCTTCTATTTCACAATTCATGCTGAAGACAACTTTGCAGAACAACATGCTTACAAAATGATTTGTTTTTACTTGTCAGGTCTATTCCTTAGTTCAAGAAAACCTTTATTTTGATGAGTCACGCATTTGTGAGTTAAGTGAATATGGGTGGGCTGTGAAAAATGACTAAAATATCAACAGCAATTTAAAAGTACTTGTTTTCCTGTGCTTCTGCAGGTTTGCCTGGGTAACACAATGCCAGCTGAGCGCAAAAAGCCAGCAAATATGGAAGAAAAAGAATCTCAGTTAAATAATAAAGAAAAAGAATTTAGTGAAAGGCGACCAGTGAGCACCAGGGAGAAGCCAAAAGAAGATGTGAAGGTTGGTATGAAGAGAGAGACTTTAAAGGTTCCTGAAGATAAAAAGAAAAAAATGGAAGAGGATAAAAGAAAGAAGGAAGACAAGGAGCGGAAGAAAAAAGAGGAGGATAAAGTAAAGGCAGAAGAGGAGCAAAAGAAGAAAGAAGAAGAAGAAAAAAAGAAACTTGAAGAAGAGGAGAAAAAGAAACAAGAGGAGGAAGAAAAAAAGAAACAAGAAGAAGAAGCTGCTCAACTGAAGTAAGTTATCTTTTAAAGGTTTAATTGGGCCAAATGCTGGAGTTCTGTTATCAGGATTGTGGTCAGTTAGAAAAGATGAAGTGTTGGAGTTACTTTGAATAAGTTGCATGTAGTGTTATAAATTTTACATGCCTGTCTGATTGGGCTTTGTGCCTTCTAAGAGATTTTGAGTGTTCACTTGTAACCTCTGTTACTTTGGTCTCTGTTATGGGGGTTTGATAATGTTCTGCATGTGATGACCATGGAGAGCACAATTGTACTTGAGTAAATATTGTGATTTAACCCCAGCTAGCATCAGCCCCACACAGCCACTCCCTCCCCTCAACAGGATGGGGAAGAGAATCAGAAAAGTGAGAAATCTCATGGGTTGACATAAAAACAGTTCAATGGGTAAAGCAGGAGCTGTGCAGGCAAGTAAACCAAAACAAGGAATTCATTCCCCACTTGCCCAGCACTCCCCAGGACAGCAGGGCTCCCTCAAATGTTAGCAGTGACTTGGGAAGACAAACACCATCACTCCTATCATCCCTCTCCTTCCTTCTTGCCCCAGATTTATGTATTGGCCATGGTGTCAAAGGGACTGAGACATCCCTTGGCTTAGTTGGGGTCAGCTGCTCTGGCTGTGTTCCCTCCCAGCTCCTTGTGCAGTGCCAGACTCCTCCTTGGTGGGGTGGGGTGGGGTGGGGTGTGGAGCAGAAAAGGCCTTGACCACGTGTAAGCCCATCCTAGAAATAGTGAAAACACCCCTGTGTTATCAGCACTGATTCCAGCACAAATCCAAAGCACAGCCCCACACAGGATACTCTGAAGAAAATTAATTCTGTCCCAGCCCAAATCAGGTAATAAAGAAGCACAGATGCATTTAAGGTGAAGTGTTACTGTCCAAAACTTAACAGGTCTACAGATCTTACATAACGGGAGCAAATTTGATGTGAGAAATGACTTTTAATCAATCATAGACAACTGATACCTGGATGGCAAACTCAGAATGTAGCCTGGCAGTTTAATGTGTGATATTACCAAGACCATGTTTCTTAGTATGTTATCCAGCCATAGTACAGTGCTGAAGGTGGCATCTTTATAGGTCTGAAATACTTCCCTTGTAAGATTGAGGCAATGTCATAGCCAAATTCTAGCTGGGACACATAAATTTCACCTATTCCAAACTTCCTGTGTAATTTCAGTAGTCTGGCAATAAAAGATTTTCCTTTAATGTCTAATACAGTAACCTTTTGAAAGGCAGTTTCCTCTTCTGTGGGAACTTCATCAGTAGTAAATGAAGTTTCTTGTTTATATTTTCCAAGTCTGTTGGGATTAATATGTTCTGCATAGAAATATTTGAGAAATTTTGTTTTGAAACCAGTAGTACTTGCCCTTTGCAACACAAAAATTAAACAGAATTTCTGAAGCAGATGCTTTAGCTTTCTAGGATTAGCTTAGTAGATATTAAAGAAGAGAGTAAGGTGAAACTGTGTTAGAACTCCTGAAGGTTTTCCAACTGTGACCTTTTTTCCTTTGTACTGATACTCTGAGATGAGGGCTCCATAACAAAAATGAGTAATTTTTATGTCTCACAGGGAGAAGGAGGAAGCACATCAGCTCCATCAGGAGGCTTGGGAGCGCCATCAGGCAAGAAAAGAGCTGCGCAGCAAAAACCAGAACGCACCGGAGAGTCGTCCGGAGGAAAACTTCTTCAGCAGACTGGACTCCAGTCTGAAGAAGAACACAGCTTTTGTTAAGAAGCTAAAAACCATTACAGAGCAACAAAGGGACTCCTTGTCCCATGACTTTAATAGCCTGAATTTAAGCAAATACATTGCAGAAGCAGTGGCTTCTATTGTGGAGGCCAAACTGAAAATATCAGACGTGAACTGCGCTGTGCACTTGTGTTCCCTCTTTCACCAGCGATACGCTGATTTTGCTCCTTCGTTACTTCAGGCTTGGAAAAAACATTTTGAAGCAAGGAAAGAAGAGAAGACTCCCAACATTACCAAGTTAAGAACTGATTTGCGTTTCATTGCAGAATTGACAATAGTTGGGATTTTCACTGACAAGGAAGGTTTGTCTTTAATCTATGAGCAGCTTAAAAATATTATTAACGCTGACCGAGAATCCCACACTCACGTTTCTGTGGTTATCAGCTTTTGTCGACACTGTGGAGATGACATTGCTGGTTTGGTACCAAGGAAGGTAAAAACTGTTGCAGAGAAGTTTAACTTGAGCTTTCCTCCTAGTGAGATAATTAGCCCAGAGAAACAGCAGCCCTTCCAGAATTTGTTGAAGGAGTACTTTACATCTTTGACCAAACACCTGAAAAGGGACCACAGGGAGCTACAAAATATTGAAAGACAAAACAGGTGACAATTGAATGTTGCTTTTTACTTATGAATAAAAATTAGTTTATTTATGAAATGCCTAGATTTGTTGCAGTATTTATGAACAAAGTCTGTTAGCAGTGTGTAGAAGATAAGTGTGTTCTGCAGTGCTTCTAAAAAAAAGTTCTAAATTTGTTCTGAATACTTAAAAAGCAGAGACCAAACAGACTCTTTGAATATCTCTTAAAGGAAAGGGAGGTTGACCTTTAGCTGTAATTCTCTTTCCTCTGTTTGGTGCTGTTTCCTTATCAGCATGAGAGCAATGCTGCTTTCCCAGCTGGCACTGTCCTTTTGCAGTTGGCACAATCTGATTTCTCCCTTTCCACCCACATGTATCAAACGAAGCATATGCCACAATTGCTTTGGCTTGTCTACTTATTTTAGTATACTAGGATGAAGGAAAAAATAGGCTAAGTTAGGAAGGTATCTGTTACACTCCAAGGTGGACAAATATATATTAAATAAATGTATTAAAGTGTTGGAGGGCATAGACAATTTAATAAAAGTCCTCCTAAATATTTGTATGTGGTACTAATATTGCAGGGTATGAATATGCAGACTTTGAGATCTTAATAATTTTATTTCTGCCATGTTCACATTTTTTAGTAACTGTTTGCTTTAAAGCATCCTGAATTCTCATTATTGGAGCCAGCCTAAACCCAAATGCTATTCTTAAAACTGTCCTTCTTAATTTCTTCTGGAAGCATTCCAGTCAGATAGAAATGAAAATGTTACTGTTTATAGACACATATTTCAGCTAAAAGGTTGGACATCCATCCAGAACCAAATGTATGCTTGGAATGCATTAAATTTTTATGTTTCCAAAGCAAGACTCCTTTGTGCTGATGGGTTTTGTGCTGCAGTCCTATCTGGTCTCAGCCAAGTGTTGAATTTCACAGGATCATAAACTGACTTTTGAGGTACCATTATTTCTACAAGTACCTTACTAATTCAAAGTACATTACTGACTAAGGTGTAGTTTTTTCTAAGTGAATGCATATGAACCTTTATGCTTTCACAATTATCATTAGTTCTGGGCACGCTGGTTCTGGCTGGTGTTTCAATAAGTGTGTGTTACAAAGTCTGTGTGATAGAAACTTTTTTCATTCTATTTTCTGAGAAGTACAAAATATGTTAAGAAAGCAAGAAGCATGAAGAATGTAAATGATCTGGGATGTAGAAATATACTTTAATATTTACTTGTACAACTGCATAAAAATGACTGGACAGAGCCTGAGCAGCCTGGTCTGACCTCATCACTGAGCCTGCTTTGAGTGGATCAGACAAGGGCACATGAGGGACCTATTTGAGCACCTTGACACTGAATTATCCCTCCTTGTCAGCTTGGGTGCAGGGCTTGGTTTTGGGGAAGGAATGTGAAGAGCTGTCCTTTATCACTGCATTAAGAGAACTCCTTTATTTCTCTCTCTGAAGCTTGAGGTGTCTATTTTAAGTCCTTAATAAGGAGGAATAAGTTTTGTTAAATAAGGCATCAAATCTTTCCTTCCAGATTTTATTTGTTTACAACATCTGTAACAGATTTGTGGCATTTGCTTGCTAGGGAAGTAGAAGGCATCAGGAGGGCAAGACAGAGATGTGCCAAGTAAGAACTCTATGGGTATTACAGAAATCTTCCTGAACTGTAGATTCTGGGAAAGTGATTGTGCACTTGATTCTTTGCTTGCTTTGAAATTTGGATTTTTGTGGGTGGTAGTTTTTTGGGGTGTTTTTGTTTGGTTAGGTTAGTTTAGTTTGGTTTTTTTTTTTTTTAACCCAGTAATCCTATTGGATAAAGCAATTCTCCGTGTATTGAAAATCTGATCCATTTTGCTGTAGTTTTTATTCACAGTGTTATTCCACAATCAATGAAGTGAATAGGGAGTGAAGTGTTCCCTTTTGTGCATTAACTGTGTCACATGTTAAGGTTATGATATTTTGTCAGGTAAATAACTCATCAATTTATCTCTGTCAGGAGAATGACTGTGAAATAATTTAAGCTGTACAGTTTGGTTGAATTAATTGAAAATTACTGTGCTAAATTAAGAGTGCTTTAGTGTTGTGTTACCTGTGGAATCATTTAGGTAAAATTAAAGCAGACTCAAGTGGATGGTTAGGAAAAGTACCTTGAGCTACTCTTTGATTTTAATATAGACATAACCATAGAACCTGGTGATTGTTTGGTTACACAGCTGAGGGCACAACAAAACTTGTCAGGCTGTGTCATTGGAAGGAAACACCTTGATTATTCCCATATTCTGAAGAGAGTTTTCCAAAAAAAGTGTTAGCTATGGAAGAAACTTCTTTAGTCTAAATTAAGGATGTTTTTAAGATGTGCTGAACTTGCCTTGTGCTTTGAAGAGACATGAAGTGAGACAAGTACTATGTACTTGTAATTGTATTCACAGGTGAACCATGCTTTTAGTTTGCTTCACTTGCTTTAACTGCTTTGAATTTGTTAACACTTGTCTTCTTGAAACTGAAATTGAGAACTGAAAGTCTTGTGCTATTGTTACAGCACTTTGCTTTTTTTGTTTTTGAATAATAGCAGAGAGCTTCAATGCTGGTGTTTATAAAGCTGCTGGTTTAAAATATGTATGCAATGGACAGCAGTCTCCATGGAAAAGCTGTGAATAGATACTTACTGTGTTTCCTGAATCCAGACTGAACTACTGCACTTCACAGATACTCAGGGGTTATTTAATTTGTTAATTTTTCTTTGCTGTACTTTGCAGGAGCAGGCAGTACATGTTAAATAAGTGTGTTTTGTCAGAGAAATAGAACTTGTGCCAGCATTAATGCTTCTTGCTCTCTTGCCAGACACCTGTGTCCACTTGAGGTTCTGAGCAGGGATAGGTGATTTTGTTGCTCACCCTGTGAATGTGTACAAAAAGACTTTTGTTTTACAATTAATCTGGAACAAGAGGACTGATAACCCTCAACTTACATTGCCTTAACTATTTCAGAATTCTTCTGCCACAAGATGCTTTGGCAAGGCTGTGCCTGTTTGCCTATTGCATAATAAAAGCCTAATGGTCATGGAGCCCTACAGTGATAATGCAATGATACAACCTGCTTTGGGAATTGTGGCATTTGCACCTTTTTTCAGATTTCTGATGCTTTCATCTCAGTGCAGGGTGCCTGGTCAGTGATGCCAGTAATCACTTGTAAGCAGTGATTAGGTTCCTTCAAGTGCAGGTTACTTTTGACAACAGACTTCAATGTTGAAAATTATTATTTGAAGCAAGTATGAATAGTTTTGTAAAAAAAAAAATAAAGAGCACCTGAAGAAACAAATATAGCTGCTCATCATTTGGGCTGATAGCCTTGAAATAACTTGTTTTGTTGGAAAGTCAGTGGGCTGCTTGCAAATTTTTTGACCCTCCTGGTGACAATAGTTCATGTAATCATTTAAACAATGTGGAAATGGATTGATACAGGTGCAAAGCAACTTTTATCTAGTTTATTGATAAAGTTGAATATTTTATTTTACTATGTAAGTATTTTTAGGACTTTTACAGCCTAATTGTGGCAGAGCAAGTGAGTCTTTCTCTTTGACATGGAAGCTGGAGCTTCTGTGACTGGACTGTCTTAAGTAGGATTGAAGTTGGAAATTCAGTGTGATTTGGAACAATATTAGTGTCACTTAAATGTTTGCTATTTCAGTCTAAGCTAGAATTGTTCCAGTTCCCTCAAGGAGGGCAGGCTGGCTTTGCTCAGAGGAATTGCTAATGGTTCAGCACAGCTCAGAGGTGTTTGAGGGATGGGTGGTCTTACTGTGGGTTTGGTTTTTGTAGACGCATTCTGCACTCCAAAGGAGAGCTGAGTGAAGATCGACACAAGCAGTATGAGGAGTTTGCCATGTCCTATCAGAAGCTGTTGGCAAGTTCTCAGTCTCTGGCTGATCTTTTGGATGAGAACATGCCTGACCTCCCCCAAGAGAAGCCAACACCTGAGGGTAAGCCAGATTCTAAAGCAGGTTAACAGAATCCTGGAACTCTGCTTGGGTGTGGTGGAAAAAATAACCAAACCCTCTTAGCAGTGTGTTCTTTCTGCTGGTTTCATTTCATTCAACCTGTCCCCCTAAGGGGTATCAGCTAGTGAATAATACATTTATTTTTTGAAATTAAAGTAATTATGCCTAATATGTAACCATAACTATTGTATATTGTGTGTATGGAAACCTAAGTAATATCTCTTTAGGTTTGTTTCTGGGGATAGAGTAATAAATGGAAAATGAGAAATGTTTTTAACCTGATCCTTTCCTTTAATATTATGCAGGTTTTATTATTTAAAAACTGTCAGTTTTAAAAGCTGATGCTGTTAAAAAATACATTTAAGTCTATTTTGGGGCATGATGTTGTGGGCAGGAACATATTGATAAGGCAGATAAGTCACTAGGTGTGGCTGTCTGGCCTCCTGAGCAGGAGTGCAGCTTTCAATGCCATTCGATTTAAACTTTGAGATTCGTTGAGATGTTGTTGAAATCATGAGTATCTTTTGCTTTAAATTATCTTGAACTTTAAAAAGCTGTTTTTTTAAATGCCTTTAAGTATTAAATTGTTCTTTTTAAACTTCATTCTTAAAACTCAGTGGGGTCCATACAATTCATCATACTCCAAGTGATTACTTTTAATGCTAATGTTGTTAAAGTCTGATACAACTTTCTAATACCACATAATGTGCTGCTTAGTTTTTCTTGATTTGACTTCCTCTGATTCTGTCTGAGTTTTTAATCAAAATGAAATTTATGATCTTAAGATAATTTCTTGGTATGTCTAATACTAAGATTGAATTGTTAAAAACACTTTTAAGTATGCATTGAATTATTCAGGTGAAAACAGAAGTAGTAATAAATAGTTTAACACTTTTCTGAAAGGACTCCTTAAGGTGCCTCCCCATAAAAGATTGTAAATTTTGTGTAAATAACTTTCTTATGATTTCACTACTTTTGCAGAACATGGACCTGGTATTGATATTTTCACACCAGGGAAGCCTGGAGAGTATGACCTGGAGGGGGGTATCTGGGAAGATGAAGATGCTAGAAACTTCTATGAGAATCTCATTGACTTGAAGGCTTTTGTGCCAGCAATTTTGTTTAAAGATAATGAAAAATATTCCCAGAGCAAGGATTCCAGCAAAGATGAATCAAGAGGTAGGATGCTTAGATAAGTTATTTTCTTCAAGATATCTTGTCTAACAGATAAAAAAACTTGATTGATAGAAGTAATGAGTCTCTAATAAAATAATTTGTGTTATCAGGACAGTACACCTGTTTGGATGAATTTTTAGGGAATAAACTAGGTGGGATAGGGATTACATCTGGTTATTAAGGAAGAAGAAAAGTAAATTGATTTTAATGTTGTTAGAATTGTAAATTTCATGAAATTGGAAGTTAACCAGTGTGAGTAAACACCAACTTTTCTGTGAGAAATGGGAAGAGTTTTCCCTTCTTTGCAGATGTTAGTGTTTGGGGTTTTTTTCACTGTTATTTTCTTATTAAATAATTAATGGTAGGTGACATTGTCAGGATAAAATTTCACTAGATCAGAAGGCCTGGCTGGTTCCTCACTTGTGACACAGCTCTCAGTTCACAGCCAGGCACGTGCAGACTTCAGGTGCAATGGGATAAAAAGTCCCCATCCCTGGCTCAGTGTGTAACACAAGACGCATGATTGGAGAATTCTGACATTTCCCTCTAAGGATCTTTAGATATTGGAGCAGCTTGCCCAGGGAGACTGGAATCTCTGTCTTACTATTTTAAAACAACTGGAAAAATACCTGAGAAATGTGGTGTTACTAGTGTTCATCCACCTTGACCAAAAGGTTGAACTGGAGATACCACCAAAGTCCATTTCAGACTCATTTTGTCTGTGATTCTGAACATGTTACTTGTTTGTGAGTCTGTATTTCCATATGGTGTGTGCACTGTTTACAAGTTGTCACACTTGGCTTTGAAAAATTTTAGAATTTTAATAAGGTTATCTGCCTTGAAATTTATTTTTTTTAAATGAAGCAGAGTCTGCAAATGCAATTGGAAGGAGGCCTGGAAAAACAGTAAAATTCTGTAGATTGTAATCTCTTGGAAAAATGCTCAGTGTTGGACCAGTGTTGTGGTCCAAGAAAAATATTAACTGCTTTTCTGAATATTTCTGATTCAGATATTGTGTTCAAGGAAAATAATAATCTTTATTTGACCTTTTATATAGTATATTATTTCATCAACACCTTCCTCCTGTTCTGTTTTTTCCTTTTTTTTTCTTCATCTGTGTGAAAGATTTTGCATTAAGACAACAGAGATGTAGGTTTAGCAGCATTAATCTTCCTGTATTCTAATTATAACTGTGTGTATTTAACAGTTTGTTAGTATTTATTTGGTATTTCTACTTAACTTGAAAATAGATTCAAAAGATGCCAAAGATAATAAGGAAGCAGCTGGGAATGAGGATCTGGAATTGGAGCTGGAGAACCTGGATATTAATGATGATGCACTGGAGTTGGACTGTGGAGATGAGGCAGAAGATCTTACAAAGAAGCTTCTTGATGAGCAAGGTAAAAAAGAATTGGTTTTAAGAATTCTTTTTCTTTGTGGTTTGTTGTTTTTTTTTTAACGTGGTTGTTTTGGTTTGTGGATTTGTAGAGTGCATTCAGGGCAATTTATTTATTTATGAAACTAGCAGCTAGAAACTGCTAGGATTGTGATAAATGATTTTGTAGCAAGTCATTCAGAAAAAAGTGAAAATTATTTTAAAGATGTTTATGTAGTGAAAGGTACCAGTTCCTTCACACAACTTTTAAAATAAGCAAATGTAAAGGCAGTTTTCTGAAGAGTGACTACAAAGAGGAATGAATACTTTACAACTAAACATTACAAATGCACCTTTTGGGGAATGTGTTGGTATATCATTATATTTCATAGCTTTAAGATGTCTGCTGCTTGTTTATTTTCCTCTGTTAGAACAAGAAGATGAAGAAGCCAGTACTGGATCTCATTTAAAACTCATTGTAGATGCTTTTCTTCAGCAGCTTCCAAACTGTGTCAACAGAGACCTCATAGACAAGGTACAGTCATAGTTTCAGTTTTTCACACTCTTAAAAGCCTTAATGCTAGATCAGATAGATAGGAAATAAAGATTTCAATCTTTGGAGTCTGACAGTAGCTGAATTAATTTTTAATCAGTCTGTATTCCTCTCAGTGGACATGTTTTCTGCCTATGCCAGTTCTAGCCAAAACTGAAGATTTGTCGTTATGGTTATTTTTAAAGCAGTTGTATGTAGTAGGAATAACTCTGTAAAAGCTGTGTGTAAACACCATTTTCTGTTGCTTTCTTGAAAACCTGCTGCATTCAAGTGAAGCATTGCATTAACTTTGTTCTTTATAGGCAGCAATGGATTTTTGCATGAATATGAATACAAAAGCCAACAGAAGAAAACTGGTACGAGCACTTTTCATAGTTCCTAGACAAAGGTAAGAGCAGAAGGGGGATCAAGCTGGATCCACCCATTTATTATTTAATTTACCATGTGCATGTAGTTTTTAAAACCAGTGTATATTCCATTTGTTTGTTCCTGATCTGCACTTTTGGAGTGGCTTATGCTGAAGCACCAAAGAAATATTTAGAATCAATGATCCACACTATGATAAATTGTAAAAAATTAAGGTTTTTTAAAATGTTTTTTTTTTTCCTAATACTTGGTGTTTACAGCAGATCTCTTTTCATTACTTTTTAAAAATTACTTTATTTTTTGTGAAAATAACAGTAAAACCTACCTGATAGCAAAAAGGGAGGTTTCATTTCATTCAGGACAACTTACACTTTTTTGTGTTAGAGCCTGTGGGCACTTAGAGCACAGTGTAGTCTGGAAGGAGGATTTCCTGTGATGTGTTGATCCTGATGCTGTTCCTGGCCATTGTTACAGCCTTGTGCCTTCTGGCAGCTCTAGGCCAGGCACTTGGAGCCTGGCCTCTCCTGGCTGTGTACATGTGCCTGTGTAAAGCTCTTGCTGTTTCTCCTTGTCTCTGTGTAAGCAGACTTCCTGCACTTACAGGAAGAGCCCTGCTTCCAAAAATGTTTGCAAATATTCAATTAAAAACATTGAATTCGTTTGAGGAATAATATTTCTCTGTTCTCTGCTAAATTTGAGCCTTAAATAGGTGAAATTATGAAGAAATGGCTTTTCTTGCTTCACCTTGCCCTGTTTCTCATCATGAGCTGTTTTGATGCTGAATTTAACATAAAGTGAACATGATCATCCTGGAGATCTTGTTAAGAGTTTTGATTCCATTACCTTTTAACACTGGGGGAAAAACATAGCTTGAGTATCTGTCTTTTCTAAACACATGTGTAGACTGGCTTTGAACAAGCAGAGTTGGTGCTTTGTTTTCCTCAAGTTTATTCATCGCTTGTGCTGTGTTTTCAACCCTAATTCAGCCTATTTCTACATCTCATCTGAAATAACCATCTGCTGTGCTAATAACCCTGTTCTCTTGCTGTGTGCAAACCAATGGTTTGTTTGCTGACTGAGCATTAACCTGACTCCACGGTGAAGCAGTGCACATAATCTTCCATTCTCTTGTGTGTTCTTGCCTCTAAAATTTTCAGGTTTGACCTCATTGTTTGGAGATTTTGATAGAGGCCTGATTGTGCCCAACATATTAATTAATGACAGAGGAGGCAGGCAACTGATTATCTTCTGTGTTAGATGTAACAAGTGCTCTTTAGCCCAAATGTAGGTAGCAGGGGAAGTAACATTTCTGTTTATCAGCCTGCTGGTAATGATGAAATGCATCAAAACACAATGTGAGCAGAATTTCTTTTTCACAACTTAGGACATTTACAGAAAAGAAAATCAGCAGGAGCACTTAGACTTTTGCCTTCAGCTCTGCCATAGTAGAGAATTTTCCATACTTTTAAAATGGAAGTGGCTTTTTGGCTGGGCTGTGACAAACATTACATAAATGTTTGTACCACTGTCCTGTATTATTTCCTGGTGCTGTAGGTTCCAGATTGCTGAATTTGATTATCAGCTCTTGGAACCTCTTTGAAAATTCTTTATTTGCTTTGCATAATCTGCTAAATTGTGCTAGGTGACAGTGATTTGGAGGAACTTGTACATGTGCACAGTGAAAGGAGATACTTTCAAACAGGGACAGCATGATAAGGCTGTTATTCAGCAGTGTGATTTCACAGATGGCATGAAAGCAAAAGTTCAATTCCTGATATATTGCACTGTTAAAAGATGTGTCTGTGATCAGGCTGTACTGGGAGCAGAGTTAATAAACTCCTAGAAGCATACATAGTTTCTTATTGCCATTGATTTGTCATCTTCCCAGTGGTAATTCCATTGCCCTGCAGATTTGTATTAAAAGTAATAATAATTTTTAAAATATTAGCTTTTCTCATAGCCCTCAACAGAGCAGGATAGATGGTGGGATAGCCTCAAGGAGCTGCTGCTGTTGTGGTGGTTCCGGTCTCCAGTGGTTGGAGCCAACACTGAAGTGAATGGCTCAGCTGATCTTCTCACTGCTGGTCTTTGATTATAATTATGAATTGTTCCTAATATTAAGATGTACTAACATTTGATGTACCATTCTTTTTTTAATTCCTTTTCCTGCTGTCTCCTCTGGGACCTACTTGACTAATAAATACTCAAGCTACCTTGATTCTTTCAAGACCTTAAGTTCACTATGTGCCTGCATTGGTGAGCCCATCTCTGGGCTACTCCACTGAAAAACAGGATGTTGACTGAGCTGCTTGTTCTGAACACAAGCAGCTGGATTGTAAATACCAGCTGAGCTGCCCATAGATGCAGACAATTTGAAAGGGCAACCTACCCCAATATTTAAGTGAACTGTATTGCTGCAGTTGGTAAAAGAGCAGTTCTGCTGTGTGTCTTCAAATCAATGTTCACAATCTTTTCTGATGTAGAAAATGAAAGATATTCTGTTGCACACTGCTTTGAGGCTTTGTGTACTGTGCATTAATGATGATTTTGCTCAGGGTATCTCTTCACTGAGCCATAGTGATATGGCTTTACCTTCCATTATTGTTGTTCCATACTTGTTTTACTAGTCCAGGAATTTTTGCAATATCTCTCTAGGATACTGTGGGAGAGGAGTGCTTGTTATGCTGATGTTTTTGAGGAGGGTTTTTTGTGAAAGCTTCAGAGGAGCAGTGTCCTTGAGGATGCAGATAAAGCAGTATGTTTTCAAAAAGCATTTAGTTTCCAAGCATATCACTTAATGTTGTTTAAGTTTAGCTGCTTTATTTGCAGCCATAATGAGGTATTTCAATGACAGAATAAGTTCTCTTTCTTCTCCTGAGATCACTTTTGGGAAATGTGCAGGCACAACAGTTTCATCAAGAAAGTGTAAAACTGGTTTTTTGTTTGATGTGTAAAACAGACACTGTGAAATCAAAGTCATTATGTAGTGTTGCCAGGGAGCTTTCTTGCTACCACTAGGGTTGGATAGATTGGGACGAATCAGGATTCTTCAGGACAGAAAACTTAATTTGACAAAAGAGGCCATTTCCTCCTCAACTCACTGTAAATCAGTGTTAGAATGCATCTTTGCCCTGCTCTGTTGAATACTGATGAAAGGATCACATTTACATTTTCAGCTGTGATTTGAACCTCCAACCCAACAGAACAGAAGGCCTTTTAAAAAGATTTTTCAATGCCAGTACGCGAGTGGCTTTCACATTTGCATTGGAGGATTGATTTAAAACTAAATATTAGCCTGTTAATCCAGGGCTGCAGGCAGTGATTTAACCCATACTGCTCACAGCTTTAGGACCTTTTTGTGTGGTTCTTTGTTGAATTGTCTTCCTGTACACAGAATTATTTAGGTTTTCCAGAATACTGCAATTCTGTAAATATTTTTCCTTTACTTCAATATGAGAAGTCTGAAATCTTTTCTTAGGCTTTAAGTTCTAAACAATTCCAGATAAATGTTAAGCAGTATATAGGTGCTGTTGTGACTTATGGTATTTTTGATGTTCCCATCTATGGAGATCTGTGTTGCAAGTTTACCTGCAGTAAGAGATCTGTTTTCCACATGGAAGTTTTTAGTGTTATTATTGGTTGTTCTTCATTCAGAAGTTAGCTGCTTCTCAAGTGTTAAATTTTAATTCAAAAGCTGCAAGCCTCCTGTGTATTTCCTGTCAGCTTTTCTTCCTGAGACTTCTCTGTATCAAGGTTCTTTTTGTTCAGTTGAACTTGACTTATCAGTGTTTGCATGGCCTGTTTCAGTTGAGGATGAAATTGAGGGATGTGCTTGAGATCAAGGAGTTTTATGTCCTGGCAAAGAAATAAAAGCCAAAAGTGCTTCCCTGGTAACATTCCAATTCCACATCATCCTTCTCTTGCCACTGAGCAGTGTGGGTGGCACTGGGTACCTGTTCAGGCCCTGTGAATGCTCTGCTTTTTCCATTAGCATTGTGCTTGTGACACAGGAGTTCTGGCTCCATTGCTTCATTCTTTGAGCTGTGCTGTAGAATCACAGAAATTAGGAAATGTACAAAATGCCCCCTTCACTCTTCCTGGGCATAAAATTTTGGATGTATTCATTTTAGAGAGATTGCAGTTAGGACTTTGAGATAAGTTTTTCTGTAAGTTGGTTTAGGATTGGTTTTGTTTGTTTGGGCTTTTTAAAATCAACTGACATTTGAAATGGTGGAAAAAAGATGTGCTGTTAAATATTTTCCTGATGTGTAGCTCATGTGAGCCTGAGATCCAGAGCTGACTGGATTTCAGTCCATGGTATGGGGTCTAAATGACAATGGTCACAAGTGGTGCTTTTTACTGTGGTGCTGAATATTCAGGGGACTTCAGAGAGTGACTGCCCCATTCCTGATGCCAGCTCTTGCTTCATAGCCAGAAGAGCAGGAAGAGAAAGCAGTGTGGGGTTTGTGGGGGTTTAGTTTAGTTCTTCCCCCCCTTCTCAAGAAAAAGAAATGCTTTTGGAGGGAGCAAAGCACTGCATGTACCAGTAGATGGTGCCACTGATACTGGAATGTCTCCACTGCTGAACATGAAATTTTGTCTCTCCTGAGAGGGAACAAATTCCATCTCTGGTTGCCAATTTCAGCATAATTAACCCAAGGCTATTCCTTATTATATTTCACCTATTTAGAAATACCCAGTCTTAGTATGCTTCCTCATGAAGAAACCTTTTGTGTCCTGCAAGGGAATAACAACAATGTGCTCTAAGACTTTAATTTTCCCCTAGGTATACTCAGTTTACAGAGATGAAATTATTGGCTCTCAGCAGGCAGGTACTTGTTGAGACCAGAATAAAACTTTCTGATATTTGTTTTAAAAGAGTTGCCATACAGAAATCCCCTCAGTTAAATACACCCTCTTAGCTCAGCCACAGTCCTCTCTCAGTTTAGCTTTTGTGGGTGTGTGTGAAGTAGTGAGACTTTCACTTCTCTCAAAGTTAATGCCTAAATGCTTAATAACATGGTAGTAATTTGCTGTGGGTAGTCAGCCTTGACTGTGTGTTCCAACAAGCTTAAAAAATGTAAATACAGCTTCAGTTATTGATTAACAGAAGAGATAAAAGCTGTTAAATAGGTAACTGAGATACCCACAATGTTTCACCAGGAGCCTTGGGTGTTACCAGGAGGCTGCCTGGTTATGCTTTTTGGGGGGAGTATATTCTGATCCTTCTAACCCACAATTGAAATACATAATTGTCTCTTTTTCTGTAAGTGGGTATTAAATGTCTTGGAAAAGGAGAAAGGAGGCAGTTGTGATGGTTTTGTTTTGGAGTTTTTGTCTTGATGCTTTATGCCACGACAAGCTCTCTGTATCAGCTGTGCTTTTGGATTTTTTTTTTTTTTTTTTTTTTTTTTTTTTTTTTTTTTTTTTTTTGTTAACATATTTTTTCTTTTTGTTTTCCTTTCCTGAGCACTAGGGAAAACCTTAATCCTTCATAAAGTGCAAACTCAAGATGCATTTTTCCCTTACAGGCAATTTCTCAGTAGAAGCATGCAAATTTAGGATGTTCCTCTCCACTTACTTTGGCTTGTTCTAGAGTTCATCTGTTTACTGCATTAACTTAACATTCTGAAAATAAACTGAAAATACTTCCTTCAGCTTGTTAAATGATATTATGAGGCCTCAGAGTGCAGTTGGTTTCTCTGCATTTAAAACTGATATATACACAGCTGGTTTGCATAAATGTGCAAAGGAAATGTGTGTGAAGGCATGTAATTAAGGCAAGAGAGAAGGAAATAAGGAAATTCTACAGAAACCTTGAAAATATTACCATTTGTGGGAGTTTTTGGGAAAAGAGTGGCCACATCACATCTGCTCAGCTTTGTTTTATGTAATAACTGCTATTCATTTAAGAGTTTTCCACCTTAAAAGTAAAGATATTCTCTACCTTCCTAGTTATGTCTGCTGCTTTTCAGAAAAAATATTCATACCTTGCCATAACCCATGGCCTTGTCTGTAAGAACCTTTTGTTGCATGTTGAGATAGATGTGAATTTTCTTGCTGTTTGGTAATTGATTGAAGGTCAGATTCTGTATTTGATGGTATTCAGCATTTTACCTATGGCAGGAGTTAAAAAGGAAATGAACTCTGAAGTATTCCAACAGGATATGGGGGTTTGCTTTCTTGGATTGTTTTTAAATGATACTGCATTCTGAAGTGAGCCACAAAAATTGCATGTATGTAGTTCTGTCAGTGCATTGATTCTTTTCACAAGTAAAATGGTACCCATATTTGTACACATAAATACATTTTTGTCTCTAAATTGTCTATTTTATCCTCTCCTTTGTTTGCAGATTGGATTTGTTACCATTTTATGCAAGACTGGTTGCCACATTGCATCCCTGTATGTCTGATGTAGCAGAGGATCTCTGTTCCATGCTGAAAGGGGATTTCAGGTTCCATGTATGTTTTAGTGATTTATATTTTTATTAAAACCATCAATTAATCTCATAAGTCAACCTTTGGGGAAAAAAAACCCACTTTGTGTTGTGTAAATACTACTTCTAAAATTCAGTGACTATTTTTCTGTCATTTCAGCAGTTCTAGAAAAAAGAAGAGAAAGTTTTGTAACTTTGTTAAATAGAAATTTGTTCAACTTTCCATATATGCTTACATATTTATATAAATGAACTGTACAAAAGTTACAAAAATTAGATACTCTGCTCCATCTGTGTTAAGAGTTTTCTGTATATAAATAACTTGCTTTTAAAATGAGACCTGACCTGCGCTAACATTTCCCACTACAAAGCTACTATTGGAGGGATCAGTATTACCATAAAATATTTAATTAAAATTAGATTTTGCAATTTTCATCTCTCAAAATTTTCCACACAAATGTATTTTTCAGTCTTGTTTCCATCACTTTCTTTTAAAATATTATAACCAAATGTGTTATGGTGCACAGTGACGATTCCTTCACCATTTTCTGAGCTCTGTGGCACAGATTTCAATTTTTTTTCTAATATTGACATTAAAAATGTGTATAAATTGCTCAGACTTACTTGAATCTTAACAATGTTAACTTTCTCAGAAAAACTTCTTTTTGTTGGGGAAATCCAATTTTCTATTTTATGGGTTATGTTTAGACATAGATATATTTTTGTTTGGTTCCTAAATTTATGCTGAATGTTAGTTATTTTAAAAGTCTGTACATTACTTAATCTGATTTAAAAAAAACATCAATATTTAATGTTTCCTTGAGGACAGTACAAGTGGCCCTATTCTCATAGAGACTTCTTATTGATTCTGAAAATGTAGAATATAGAAAATTCTGAATGTAGAATCTAGAATTCTTTATCACTGTTTCACTGGGCCAAGGAGGGGAATGTTAGAGTAATGAGGAGTAGGTATGCTAGAGGAATTAATTGTTTTGGGGGGGTAAGGAGATGGGGAAAAGAATTGAGAATGTTCTGAAGAAACAAGGTTGTAGGGAGGGTTTTAGGAAACCCAATGAGAGGTGGAGCTTGAGGACCCAAAGTGATACCAAACACTGCTGAATTCCCAAGTGTGTTTTGTGCATGTTCAGATCAAAGTAATTTAGAAGTGGGTATTTTGAAGGCCTACAATTAATTTTTGCTTGTTTTTTAGGTAAGAAAAAAGGACCAGATCAACATTGAAACAAAGAATAAAACTGTGAGGTTTATTGGTGAGCTCACCAAGTTTAAGATGTTCTCCAAAAACGACACTCTGCACTGTTTAAAGGTTGGTGCTGTGATAGCCCTGTACTCCTGTGTGTGCTGACAGTGTGGCCCCATCCTATTCCCCTTCACTTACCTGCTCCTGATGTTACCTGAATTCATTACTTGGGGTGTTTTAAACCCTGCTGGCTGTGCTGCTGGGTATGAGGAGACTTTTAGAGCTGCTGTAGAAGTCAGCAGCTATAAAAGGTATAGAAGGTATAAAAGGTATATATATATATAAAGGTATATATATATAAAGAAGCTATAAAAGGTATAGCAGGTATAGAATTCCTTCCTCTTCTAATGGGAGGAATCTATTAAAATCAACTTCTACATCTGGATATGACCAAACTGCTCATCATTTTCTTTGGAAGTATGGCAGATATTGCTACTTATTAATCTGCTGTGTACATTGTAAAACTTCCATAATGTTGATTTTAATGAATGTTTTTGTGGAGAAAATAACAATAAGGGAGAGGGACAGGAGGCAAAAAGGATTTCAGTGATGCAAGGAGAGGCTTTTATGCCATTTAGCAGGAGCTTTTGTTTGTTGAGGAGCAAAACACCTCTGGAAAGCATTCATCTCTAGGCACATCATCTCACTTTGCATGCTGATAAACATTCAAACCTTGATGTCAATTCCCAAATTAAAAATAGGTTTTAAAAAATAAAAGTGCCTTTAATAAAAGATGCTTGAGACTCACAGCTTAAGATCACTTTCTATATGAATAGTTTCTATTCATTGACTTGCTAGATAACAAAGCTGAATTCCTAAAGAAATCATAATCACTCATGATTTCACCTCTCTTGTCTATAAAATGCTGTAAAATGCAAAGTTGTGTTAATTATAGTTACTGCTTAACTGAAAACAGTGCAGGTAGGTGTGCTCTGAGGTTACTGCCCCTGTGCAGTGTTATTGGGTAGTTTGGGGGGAGTTTTTATGCTGGTCTTTCAAAACATCTTGTTCTTCTGAAGCCTAAATTTGGGGTCCATAACCTGTTCTTATAAGAATTTTAAAATGAGATGAATCTTTTGAATATTCATAGAATGGTTTGGGTTGGATGAGACCCTAAAGATCATCTGGTTCCAGCCCCTGTCTTGGACAGGGACTCCTTCCTCCTAGACTTGGTTTCTTCAATTCCATCCAGGTGACCTTGAACACTTGCAGGGATGGGGCATCTACAACTTCTTTGGGCAACCTGTGCCAGGACCTTGCCAATCCTAACATCTGATCAGTGAAATCCATTGGCATTTATTCATAAAGAATTTAGTACCCCAGCATAGTGTCCAGTCTGGTAGGCATAACTTCATGTTTTGTGCAGCTGAAAAAGATGTTTAACAAGCTGTGATTTATCTAAATACATTGCAGATGCTTCTGTCAGACTTCTCTCATCACCACATTGAAATGGCTTGTACCTTGCTGGAAACCTGTGGAAGATTCCTCTTCAGATCACCAGAATCTCACCTAAGAACCAGTGTTCTTTTGGTAAGAGAAAACTTGTCTCATGGGAGAGGGTGTCATGCTCTGACTTAAGCAATTGCTTTTTGAAACTATTCTCAAGAACTCCAGTTGACCTGAAGACCTCTTCATGTCTTGAAAAAAAATGTAAGAAAAGGAATTCAATTTCTGAAGTAAAAAGCTATTGATGTTGAACTTCTAGTAATTCAGAGACAGAGAAACCCCGAGGATGAGGTTTTTTTGAGAATATTGTAGCTATGTCTGAAATAGTGAAATAGTGTTTGAGGGGAAAAATAGTGGTGAATAGTGGTGAATAGAACCAGACATGATTTCAACTGGAGGTGAAGACATTTGTGCAAGAGGTGGTTTCTATGCCCTGTATAATGATTTGGGGTTCTAAATGTAAAAAAAGTTTATAAGACACTAAGCAGTCCTAGAAATAGAGATTGGGAATTAAGATTAGAACTGGGATCTGTAAGTCTGAAGAAGTACTGACAAAGACTTAAAAATAACAAGAACTGAATAAATAATAATAACAAGAACTGAAAAATATATTTACTGACTTGGGAGACAATCCTAAAACTCTCTGTCTAGGGCAAGACACCAAATCAGACATGGTTGAAGAAGATCTTCAAAGATAGATCCACTTTCCCTTAAACCAGCAGTCTCTCTTCTTGTGCTCTAGTTAATGGAGAAGCTACTGCATACTTGGGTATAATGTTGTACAGTTTCTTTTCCACAAAATACTGGTTTTTTCTGAACCTCTTTGAATGTCAGAACATCTGTTGAGAGGTGGTACAGTCATGAGAGGAAAGAGATGGGCAAATTAACTGCCAGTTCCTTGGCTCTTGCTTTTTGTAGCAGGTGTACTTTGTATCTTGAAGGGTTTGGATCTCAATTTTCTAAACGTTTGCCAGCTGATGTGTTGTATTGTGAAATATATTCCTTCCCATAATCAAGAATTTTTCCCTTGAAAACTGAGTTTCATTATCTTTAAAAGACATTTTACTCATTGCTGTCACTTTATGGCAGTTAATAAAAGTTTTAGAAGTCAGGAAAAACGAAATACTTAAACCAGAGCTGGTTTTTGTAACTGACTGCTTTTATTGTTCTGCACTATAAAAATGCTGGCTGTTAGCTGGATTGCTGGAATCTGCTGGATGAATGCTAAACATGGCTTAACTGTGAAGTGCAAGACAAACCACAAACACTGTTTGAATTCCTGAGGCTTAAAGCCTCACAAGGTCTTGGATAAGTGGTCTTTTCTTATTCATTGAGGAGCCAGGAGAAGGTGAAAGATGGCAAATAAGTTTGGACTATGTATTTATTAAGATGTAAAATAGGCTAAATAGAATTATATTCTGCATCCATCTTAATAGCTGCATTTTCTAACATTCCCCTAAAAATCCTACAGAGAATAATTTTGACTTAAATAGTCTTAAACAAATTGGATCATAGTCTTATGGTACAAGTTAGGGTGAACTGTGGAAAAGATTTCTCTCAAAGCTGATAACAATCTTGTGGTAAAAATCCTAGCAATTGTAAAGCTGATCTACTCTTATGGGTGGAATTAAGGCCTGTTGATCCTCTAAATAATTATTGGTCCTAATCTTTACTGCTGATGATGTATTTTGTAATAAGATTCCAAACAGGCTGCATGTCAATGTTGCTTTGTCCTGGTGTAGAAGAAAGTCATAATTAAGAATGGATTTTAAAAGTAATTAAGGAAAAATTACTTATTGAGAAGTAAAGTGTTCTGTAAGGACATTGCAAATGTAGTGGCACTAAGTAACTTATTCTAGTGATCCTATCCTGGTTTTGTGGAACTACTTCATGTTTTGCAGATTATTTAGAGATCCTTCTTTTATTAGGACAATGTTTATTTCTCATAATGGTCTTCTTGGCAAATCTTTCAAATTCAGTGTCCTTTATGTAATTTCAAATACTAATGTAAAACTAGATTGGCTTTGGGATTGATCAGTTGATAAATGAATTACTTGAATTGGATTATTTGAATTGGAGCTTCAAAAGGAAGATCAGCTTCATCTTGATCTATGTTTCTGTAACATAATTGAGTTTAAATGTCAAATTCTTGTATTATACTGTTGTGGTCTTGCTGAAAGAATATTTGAAATTCTGGTATTAAAAGCTTCCTGATGCATTTTTAATCATTTAACTTAGACAATTGACTTAAGCTTTAGGGCCAGATCACTTGCCTTAATAAATATACAGAACTTAAGGTACATGGTGGCTTCCTTCTTGGTGTGGCTGCTTTTACTGGTGCTGTTCAAACTGGGAGATGTTGTTTGTAGAGGAGGAGGCTGTGGCAAAGTAAATGCAGTGCATGGAGAACTGTGTTAATTCACTGTAACAATAACATGCTTCCAGGAAATGAAACATTTCCATTTTGAACTGTCAGAACGAGTAGCAGGGCAGAGCAGTGCAGGTATTAAAGGGAAGCAGGAGCTAAACAGTTTCAGTATCTTGCTGTAATCTGATGTTTAAATGTCAGTTATGCTGAAATGCTTTCCAAAATTGGAATTCTCATGATGCTTAGGTGTTGATTAGTTACTTCTTTCTTTTTTTTTTTCCTTAATGATCACCAGATTTTCTTTTGAAATGCTTCTGCAATATATGCCACATGCAGAAAGATTGTGGTACTCACCAATAAGAAAAACCCAAGCAGTTTTAACATTTTAACATGGATACTTTAATGTTGTTTGTGGTCTGTTTTTATCAAAGGAAAAGGAGAAACCTAATTTTCAAATGTAGTGCTTTACCTATGCAATTCTTAATTTTAGCCTAGAAGAATGAGGACCCAAAATAGCTGATGGGCTTAAGGCCCTTTGGACCACAGGTCTTGCTTTTTTGCTCTGAATTGCATCAAGGTTTTTATCACTACAAACAGTGTAGTGTTATGATTTCTCTTTCCTGCCTGTCCATCTGATGCCCTTAGCTGAAAAAGGACTGAAACATGAAATTGAAATGCTGAAGATTTTTAATAAGTAGAGATTAAGACTAATACAATCCACTTACAGTTAGAACACACACTCAGGACTGCTCAAAACCCAATAAATGACAATGGTGTTGAGACTTCAGGTAGTGCATATTGTCTCTTCTGGGAAGAAACATTTTAATTATAAACTATTATTTACAGTATAATGTACAACTTCTTATAACAGGAAAATACACAAATTTTGTAGGTTTAGGGGGTTTTAAATGTTATTTGCAAGCCCTTTTGCCATTTTCTCTGTTCTACTTTACTTTGACCCACTTCATTTTTCAGTTTATAGTACAGCATGATAAATGCTTTTAAGGCAGCAAAGGTGTATTTTCTCTTGATCTATCCAGAAAAGGTGAAACATTTTCAAAGGTAACATTAACATGTATGACATGATAAAGTTTGGGAATTTTCTACTCTAAGTGTTTTTCCCCACATAAAACAATTTATGTACTCAGGTTTTAAGTACTGTGCATCTGTTAGGTGCTTGTAGGAAAATGTGCTGCTACTGACAGAAATTTCCCATTTGGAAAGGAACAGTCTCACAGGGAATCAAAGGAAAGACCATTTGTGTTGTGGAAAAGGTTAAGAATGAAATGCCTTAGGGTTGGTGTCAGATGGAGACGTTCCCGGTGATAGATGACTAAATCCAGGAAGAAACTTACATTATTTGTTGGGTTACTATGTTACACAAAGCTACTGTTCCTCATTGAATTAGCAGCTGAAACTCAGGGTTATGGAGCTGTTTGAGTGCATTGACATTTCATTTGAACTGAAATGTCTGCCTTATAAAAGAAATTTTAAATTGTTCAGGTTTAGTGGAAAGGCCACCAGCATGAAAAATAGTGCTTTCTCACCAATAATCAAAGGAGGGTTAAACTCTTGGTTGCTTTATTGGACTGCATGAATGGATGTACTAATATTTGTGTGTGTGAAAGAGCACTTACATGTTAATTTTGTTTATCTATTAGGAGTTAGAAATTACTGTGTAGCCAGCCTCTAGCAGCTAATAAAGTTTACACAGGTCCAGTTTCCTGGAGAACCACCACAACCAGAGTGACTTAGAATATATAGGATCACTTACAGAAGTACACCTATATATATATATATATATATATATATATATATATATATATATAATTACACAGGTACATACTAAAAAGTATTTAATAATGGAATTAAGCTCATCCTCAACTGTAAAAATCAGAACTGCTTTTTTTGTTCTTTTACAGAATTTTTAGATAAATTTTTAAACCCCACAAAATGAACCTTAACTTACATATCTAATGTGAAGTATGGAGAAAAGATTTTATTAAGTGAGGAAAACAGGACAATCATGACAATTAAGCACAGTAATTAGTACTAAGTCTTACTTGTCTGATTTTTCCTGAAACATTACTTTATGGTAGATACTGTTTTCCTTGCAGTCGATTCTGCCTGGCTAAACAGCAGTAATGGAGCATGGAATAAGGAAAATTCTATTGTCTAAAGCTTTGGAAATTAGTATGAAACCATCAAAAATTCTCTGATGCTGATGTAAAAAGTAGATTGCCAGTCTTATGATAATTCACTGTGTTTGTGTCAAGACATCAATAGTTCAGCTACTTTAGTTAAATAAAATCTAGTTAAATAATGTTTCAAACAGAGTTCCTAGTAGTCTTATGAGCCATTTATTTGAACAGCAGCATTAAGATTTTGAATTAAATACTTTTCTGAAACCCTTTTTACCACAGGTGAGCCATTATAAAAATAGGGATCATAAAGAAAAATGACCATGGAAAGAGCAACACAGAACCATATACATGTACTTTGTCTTTTTTTCTCTCTACCCAAGCTTTTAACTTACTTTTCTGCAACCCTTCATATTTACTGTATCCCAAATGTAACTCTAAAAGCCTTTGGCTTGAAAATGTGGCATGTCAGCATCTCTAACAGGCCATTTGCATTTGTTTCCAGGAACAAATGATGAGGAAAAAACAAGCAATGCATCTTGATGCACGCTATGTTACAATGGTAGAAAATGCCTATTACTACTGTAATCCCCCTCCAGCTGAAAAAACTGTGAAGAAAAAACGTCCTCCTTTGCAGGAATATATCCGTAAGCTTCTTTACAAGGATCTCTCCAAGGTCACCACAGAGAAGGTAAATCCTTTCAAAACCTTTAATACAGTTTTTACTGAAAGTGGTGTGTACTAGTTACTTTGGAAAAGCTTTGGGGAGGGCTATGGTTTTTCAGTTGTAAGGAAGAGGAATAAAATGGTTAAATTTTAATAAATTAATAAAAGGGTTTAATTTCTTTTATTGGAATATGTTGAAACTCCAGTTGTGGACCTGTGTTCTCAACAGCATCACATGCTGAACAAAGGGAGAGTGAGATGAGAATCATTGTGTTCTGTACATTGTGATGGGAGAGTAAGGGACAAAGGGCTTCAGTTAAATCCAGACTGTAAGAGCAAGGAAATTATGGAACAGACTTGGACAGCTTGATCAGTAGCTGGGTCGTGTACATAAAGTCTCCATAGCCACTGCAGGCCTGGAGGAGGCCTGGAAGGGAGAACAAGGTTGTTTGCAGGTGCTTACAGGGATTTCATTCCAGCCAGGAGAGAGGGGGGATGACAGGGAGCATCTTGATATTTTACCTGCTAAAATGTGAAGCTTGTCTTCAAATTTGGTTTAGGTCCTGAGACAGATGCGCAAGCTGCCTTGGCAGGATGCAGAAGTTAAGGACTATGTTATATGCTGTATGATCAACATCTGGAATGTCAAATATAATAGTATTCACTGTGTAGCCAACCTCTTAGCAGGGTTGGTCCTTTACCAGGAAGATGTGGGAATTCATGTTGTGGATGGAGTGCTGGAGGATATTCGACTAGGAATGGAGGTAAGCAATCAGTATTCTTGCTAAGCTACACTCATTTACTTATGTTGAAAGGAAAACTAAAATAATTGTGCTTAAAGAAAGGAATCCTTGGATTCTCTTTTTTTTTTTTGATGACTCTTCTGCCTCAGTTACTTGCTTTGTATAGGTTTATTTAAATTAATAGAATAACTGAACCAAAAAAACCCCAGCAAAACCAGACTAACATTACTTGAGACAGTTGTTTTGCCTCCCTTATCATAGTAAGGCATAAAATTTATTTTTTGACAGTGTAGACAGATTTACACAACTTCCAGTAACTTTTGAGGCCAGTCCATTTTTTAAAAGCTGTTATAATGACAAGATTTCTCTGACTGAAAAGCCATCATAGATTTAAGATGGAGTGTATGCTAAATGTATTGGAACTTACTAGCTGACCAGCTTTCATAACTGCATTTTAATGTTTACTTTCATGTAATGTATGTAGCCACAAGTAACCATCTTTTATTATAAGAAATTCTGTCAACTTTTTAATACACTTTTTTCCTTTGTAAAAGGTTGGTTGGGTTTGGGTTTTGTTTTTTTTGTTTGTTTGGTAGATGGGGTTTTTTTCTAAGAAATTCTGTCAACGTTTTTATACACTTTCTTGCTTTGTAAAATGTTGGTTGGGTTTGGATTCTTTAATTTTCTTCTGTGTCTTCATGATAGTGAATTTTCTTGTTCTTTTTTGATAAAGGTTAATCAACCAAAGTTCAACCAACGGCGGATCAGCAGTGCCAAGTTTTTGGGGGAGCTTTACAATTATCGAATGGTGGAGTCAGCTGTAATATTTAGAACTCTGTATTCCTTCACCTCTTTTGGTGTGAATCCTGATGGCAGTCCTAGTCCACTGGACCCTCCAGAACATCTTTTCAGAATCAGACTTGTCTGTACAATCCTCGATACCTGTGGGCAATATTTTGACAGAGGATCCAGCAAGCGGAAACTTGATTGCTTCCTTGTATATTTTCAGGTATTCTAAATTTTATGCAGATCTGTAAAGTTCTTTAACAAGCTAAAATAAGTCAGTCTGGTATGTATTTATCTCATTGTTCCCTAGCACTGTAATTTGTAGAATCTTGTCTATCTGGTAGCAGTTTAGTTTCAAGTGATATCTTATGTTGAGTTATGCCAAAATGATCTGGAGGCACTCAGTGCTCTCATTGGGGTTTGCTGAACTTGAAGAAGAGATTATTTAGGGTGCTGTCCTCAGCTAATGGTTTTGTTGAGAAAGAGGAGTCAGATACTTCTCAGGCATGCACGGTGAAAGGATGAGATGTAATGGGCACAAGTTGCAGCAAAGAAAGTTCTGACTCAATAAATTTAATAAAGTGGGGAAAATATTTCATAATGAATGTTTAAACACTGAAATGAGGAATTCCAGACCATGGAATTCATGCTAAAACTTGATGGATTTAATTTCTTTTTATTTCTGCTTTTCTCTATAATTTATACTAAAACAAGGGTATTAAAATTAAGGTGATAACTTATTTCAAAGGATACAAATCCATCTGCATGCTAGGTGTAAAATGGTGTTTTGAAGTATAGAACCTCAGAATGGTTTGGGTTGGAAGAGACCTCAAGGATCACCTTGTTCAAACCCCCTGCCATGGGCAGGGACACCTCCCACTGGACCAGGCTGTTCACAGTAGGATGTGGTCTAATTTTTAAATGCAAAAATAAATGTTTTGGGGAAGACATCATTATATTCCTGTTACATCTAAAAATTTCAGCAAGCCTTCCTCTTGAGCATGTCATCTTTTAAGTAAGATTCTGTTATTCATACTTCATTTTCACATGCAGTTTTTGCAGCACCTTGGTTCTTAAGTTCTACTGTTAGGTTCACTTAAAATCAGCATTAATTTTTTACAGTGTCACTGTAAGAGGTTTATGTGAATTAATTGTAAAGCAAACGGGATAAGGCAGTTGAAGCTGGCAGCTGGCTGCAGTCTTAAGATTTTTTTTTTTTTTTTTTATGTTGTTTTCTCCCTTTTCCCCATAATATGCCTTTGGGGAAGTTCATTTTCTTGAAAATATTTGGGGGAAGGAATCGAAAGCTGGCTGGTTGTTAAATAGCCATCTCTTGCAGAAAGAGTTTACTGCCATGGGAAGGCACTTTCTTGTCAGGGCTTTTTTGTTCAGTCTTCATACTTATAACAGTAATTACAATTCTTAATGTTTGTGATATCCAGTGTTATCAAACAAGTTTTAGTGCTGTCAAAATATCTAATAGTTGTATGAAACAGGAGAGTTGTGACATGAAAGCTTTTGCATTTTTTACTGTACAAACATAACATTTTAAACTTCATTACTTAAATGGTTTATAAACATCAGTGTGAATATAATTGATTTCAATATTTGGTATTCCAGCGCTATGTGTGGTGGAAAAAAAGTTTGGATGTTTGGACAAAAGACCACCCTTTTCCTATAGACATAGACTATATGATCAGTGATACACTGGAACTGCTGAGACCAAAGATAAAGCTCTGCAATTCTCTGGAAGAAGCTGTCAGACAGGTGCAAGACTTGGAACGAGAATTCTTAATAAAATTGGGTAAGAAAATGTGTAAGGGAAGTTAGGTATTTTTGACAGTTCCTGTAGTTCTTAAAATTGTCTCTTTATGTTGGTAATAGGTAACTTGTTATTGTTATGATCATTTATTCTCATGATAGAAACATTTTTGTAGCTTTTTTGCATGTTTCTTTTTAATCATACCATACAGAATCTCCATAACTCTAAAGTAATAGATGTTGTAAAAAATAGTATGAATACTCTTAATATAATAGTATTTGGAGAGCAGAAGTATGTGTATATGTATTTATGGAGTCACATGGTGCAAGATATGAGGAAGAAAATCATTAATTTAATCAGAAGAATGTAGTAATCACACTAATTTCAGGAGAAAACAGTTGGGCTGGCAGCACAGCTCAGTTGAAAATACACTGATTAGTGAGTATTTAAACAGTTATCAACATATTAACCTTTACACCTCTTGTACATATCCCTTCTTAGAAAATGTTGGACACTGCTGTGCTCATTGCTAAATGGAGTTGTTTTCTAATCTTCCGTTTTTATTTGAAAACAAACTTGTTCATTAAAAGATTTTATATGCAAATTTTACACCACACAAGTGTTAATTAGAGCATTTCACCTACTTGGACACATTCAAAGAATAATCCTTTCATTCAGTGAGATGAGTATGTCTAATAGCCACATAAAAGGTTGCAACTTCTGTTTTAGGAGGAACTTTTTTAAAAATAATGCTGTTTATTTAATTGACATGCCTTGAAATTCCCTATGTAGTAACTGAAAAGCAGATTAGAATTCCTCTATGGTGTCATCTAAACTCATGGTTTTCATGCTCTTAAAATGATAACCAAGAAGAAATATCTGAGTTATATGAACTGTAATATTCTTTTGAAAGGCACTCAGCACTTCCTTCCTACAAATAACAGGAGCTTCACAAAACTTTACTCTGATGGCTGGCCCTAAGTGCAGTTGGTCTAATGTCAAAAAAGGAATGACAGCCTGAATAATGACTGTGTTGACTCCTCAGTCAATTCCTAGAGAAACTAGCAGTGTAGAAGTCTGACATGAGCAGTCCTCTGGAGGATTAAGTGGCTTTGTAAATTAAGAAAAGAAAAACAAAAGAATGTATGAGAGCAGTAGTGTATGCTGGAAGTTTGGGGATTTTGCTTAAACATTGCAGCAGTCATTCTCTAAAAACAGGTCTTAATTTTTTTCCTGAATCAGAACCATGCTCAATTCTTAAATACATTCTGATTGAAATTTATACCTAATACTAAACTGGACACTGAAGCACTGGAAAAAGCTAAGACTAATTTTTTACTTCTGTGGAAATGGCACAGATAATGGTATTAGATTGAAGGATGCCTTACTGAAAGAGATATTTATGTTTGATATTTTACACTCAGAGTAAACTAAAACATCTTGAGGGACAGAAGGCAAGCAGGTCAGCAAGAGAAAGTGCAAGATGGACTAAACACACAGTGTAGGAATGTCAGAGCTGTCTGCAGGGAGGATGAGCACACCAGACTGTACTTGTGGAAGAGACTTTGCTGTGCCAGAGATTTCATATAGGCACCCACATCCTCATGGCTTTAAGTGCAGCCTCAGAGCATTAGGACAGGGTCATAAAGGTTTATTATAGGCTGAGAAAATTGTTGTTTCAAAACTGTTAATTAACAGTAGAGGGAAGTACTGCAGCAAAGACTGCAGGGGCTCCATGTCTCTGGTTCTGCTGATTTTGTGCAGTCTCTGTAGTTTGGTACTCAGATTTTGTTGCGTGTGTCAGTAGGGTCCACATTTAGTTTGAGGATGTATTGAGGCAACTTGCACAGCTTCCTCTGCTCTCTGGGAGATTTTAAACATTCTTTCTAAGGTTTTCCTCCTTTTCTGACAGGACATTATTACCCTTTATGTCTAAGCTAAGTATATAGGAAATGTTTCATTCAGAAGTCAAATATTTTAAGTTTTAGTGCTCAGTAACAATGGACTTTTGATGTGAGTTTCCACGTATAATTTGAGTGGTTATATGTGTTCTAGTGTTCTAAGTCTTCCTCTTTTTCCAAATTTCAGGAATTGTGAATGACAAAGATTCCAAGGATTCCATTACAGAAGGAGAGAATCTGGAAGAGGATGAAGAAGAGGAGGAAGGTGGAGCAGAGACAGAAGAACAATCTGGAAATGAAAGTGAAGTAAATGAACCTGAAGAAGAGGTGAGCTTAATTATTACCTTGCCTCATGTAAAAAGGAGTGATTTTGTTTGCTTGTCACTTTCTGAAGCCCTTCTAAGTCAGAGTTAGGTGAAATCTGGGTGTGCACAGCCCAGTTATTCCCATCCCAGGATATTCCCATTCCAGTTCCATGTATGTGGAAAACTGAGTGTCTGAGGCTTATTTTGGCAGAAACTTGAACCTGACAGCTTTGCTCAGGGTATGTGCTGCTTCTCAGCAAGAAGATACCTTCAGCTTTTGGCATGAAAAAAACTCACTTTCACATGACTTTCTTTATCTGCTTTACAAGCAAATGTATTGACTAAATGTCAAAGCAGTCATTAGGAAAAAACAACAGGTGTTCAGAGTATGTCTATGCAATATGAATAAATAAAAGATTTATGAAGCATAAAGCCTTCCTTGTTTACTGTGCTAATAATATTTTCAATCAAAAGTGGTGGAGCCAATAAAAAAACCACAAGTACGTAGAGATTCTGATTTGTCACTATGACACAGCAAAGCTGACGTGATAATGGTATTGTTACAAGAAAATGAGTTCATCAAGGAAATACAGAACAGTTTTTCTCCATATATGCTTGGGCTGGTTGATTTATTAATAAGCTTTCTTTCAATAGATGTCTCTCAGCACTGAAGGTCCTGAAGTTTGTGCCTTCACCCATAAATTAGTATTAATTTGAGGAAGGCACCGCTGGAGATCTTTGTATTTCCCTTCTTTGAACTTGATGAGTTCTTGCCAGTCCATTCCTCCAGCTTGTGCAGTTCCCTCTCAGTGGCAGCATGTATCAGCCACCAGTCCCAGTTTTCTGCTGTGCATTTGTGAAATTAGTAACAAAGCTGAGTTCAGATTGAAACATTGAATAAAAACCAAACAAATTTACATAGACTTAACTGAGCAGCATGAAGAGTTTAGGAAAATGTTTGAGGAACCTAGCTGTCCTTGTTTAAAATAGTCAGCAGTTAACCTTGAATGTTTCAGGAGGGCTCTGACAATGAGGAAGAAGAGGGTGAAGAAGAGGAGGAAGAGAACACTGATTATCTTACGGACTCCAATAAGGAAAATGAAACTGATGAGGAGAATACAGTATGTATTGAGCTGGAGATAAGTGAATTGAATTTGCATCTTTGGTTTTCTTTACTCAGTGTGTTTTGCCAGTGCTGCTCATAACATATCTGGAAAAATACAGCAAGGTCACTTCCTGCTATTCTTTCAAATACATTTTATAGCTTATTTTCATGTATGCATACTTTGGTTATTACCTTTTGAAAATTTTTATGCTGTCAAATTTTCTACAACTTGTTTTCTTAAGACTGTGAGCTTTCACAGGTAGCTAGACTGGAAAATATTGTGTTAATGATGGTTTTGCAATGCCAGCCACAGTAGCAAACTGGTAGGATAGAACAAGGTAACCAGTTACACTCCACTAGATCTCAAAACAGAAAAGGAGATAAGCCAAGAAGTGTGAAATCCCTACAGTACAAATTTGGGATTGACAGATTATAATATTTGCAGCTAAAGAATCCAATGGTTGAGCCTGAATTGCAGTTACATAGTAAGGAAATAATGAACATTATAGAACAATGTGTTACAGTTCTGACATTTTTGTTGTCATGTTGTGCTTTCCAAATAACTGAAGGGTAGGCTTTGTCCTGAAAATATCATCTAACTTCATGGGCTTAATGGAAAATGGAATTGAAATAGGTGTGTTAAGGACACAGACTTTTTTTATTGCCACATCTTGAATGTGTCCCTGAACCTGCACACACTCACACGTCTGTGAGAATGTTATGAGTGACCATAAATCAGCAAATATGCCTTTCAAGAAAATCATCAAGGCTGAAAACTTCTTTCTTGAACAGTTTGGTTCTATAAACCTTTGGATTGTGTATGATACAGAAGCAATAAGGATATTTTTCACTTACTTCTAGACTGAAAATTCATATTTCTGAAACTAATGTAATGGATGATTTTATTCCCACTGCAATAGGAAGTAATGATTAAAGGAGGAGGACTGAAGCACGTCCCTTGTGCAGAGGATGAGGATTTCATTCAGGCCTTGGATAAAATGATGCTGGAAAATCTTCAGGTATAAATGGTTATTTCTTAATTTGATGTACAGCTAATTGTAGTTGATTTTTTTTCTTAAAGTAAATAAGTGATTAATGCTTATGTTACTATACTAAAGGAATGAAGACTTTTTTCCTTTGTTTTGGCCTCTTCTCTGCAGTTGACTTGTTTGGCTTTTAGTAAAATAGCTGTTACTTGTATTGTTTGCCCAGTGAATACATGATACGCTGACATATATTTTACAGAATGAGTAATGAATGCATCAGATACTGTGCAAAACTTCTGACTTAATCTTAGGTTTTAATAGGTTTAAAATGCAGATACATTTAAATTTGCATAAGCTTTTTAGTACTTTGTTTTCTTAGTCACATCTGGTAAATATTTCAGTACTGAGTAAAGCAATCCCTGTATAATAAATGTATTAATAAGATGTACCAAAAAAAAAATCTTGAATTAAGAATATATGTTCTGCAGTGTGCCTCATCAAGTCTTTAGATTTCTTTCCCTAAGAGATTGCCCTGTAATTTTCTTCTTCACAAACAAGGAAAACAAAAGGAAAATCTAGTAAGCCTAATAAATGTACTAATATATAACTTAATTTTCCTGGAAGGTTAAACCTTGTCTTAGTTGTGAAAATATGAATGTTGCCAGCCTGACTGACTGTGTCAGCATCTGATCATTTATAGAATTCACGTTTTTTCCATAGCAAAGGAGTGGTGAATCTGTTAAAGTGCATCAGTTGGATGTTGCTATTCCTCTGCATCTCAAAAGTCAGCTGAAGAAGGGCCCCCCACTTGGTGGTGGGGAAGGAGAGTCAGAGTCTGGGGACACAATGCCATTTGTCATGTTAACAAGAAAAGGCAACAAACAGCAGGTAAGGGATAGATACTGTTTAAATAAATAAAGACCTTTTACTTCAAAAAAAGTAACACAGAATTTTTTATTTCTTCTTTCATTTCTCAAAATCTGATACAGACAACTTCATTTTGACACATGAAAAATACCATATATAATTTCTTGGAATTCTTGGTTGTTAATAGAAATGATGTAGAAAAATTCTGTGGTCAGATTATACCATTGCTATTTACATTTGGTGATTCTACCAGTAGGTCAGTGGTATGTCTTACATGTATTTCAGATATAGTTGTGGAAGATGAAGAGATGTGGTTGGTGGACTGCCCCTGAACATTGAAAGGACTAGAAAAAAAAAAAAGGAATGTTCCAGAATCTTTAAGATTCTGCAGCTTTTCCTGAAAACATTTTCAGCTTCAAATCAAGATATATTGTCATTGCTCAATTCAATTTCCTAAGTAACTGCCACTTGGCTGAATTTATTCAACTTGCAAAAAGAAAAAAAAGTCATCCCTCAAGACACTTTTAGGGGATTATTCCAGAATGCATGGGGTGAATCTCTTGGAGAAACTTAAAGGAAAATCAGGTTGATAAAACAAACTAACTCCTTGTTTCATGCAGCTAAGCTGTATGTTAGTCTTGGCTCTTTTCTCCAGTGTATGTTTGAATTTTCCTAGCTCAGCAAATGCACAGTACACAGGTCTCTACCTAACACATTCCACATGTATTTCTTGTCATGGTTTGGGGCTTTTAAAGAATCTTTTCATTTTGGTTGTATAATTTGATGAAAATAAATTACTCTGAATTTACATGGAAAGCATAGCTAAGAATTGTTTCATACCATCTATCTGAGCCTTTCAAGTGTTTAGATCCATGTAATTACTTGGTCTTTACATTTGTTACCTAAATTGGGACAGTAGTGTAGCTGTTGGGGTGTATAAATCTGGAGTAGGCTCCATCTCTCCATTCATATGAAACACATTCCAAAAATTCATGTAGGAAATGGTTATTCTGTTTTCCTGGAACTTCAATGTGGCATACAAAGTTCTACAAAAGCTCTGAGTGGGAGATGTTTAATTGTGGTCATTGGTCTGAGAAGAGGTTGAAGAGAATTCCATTTTTAAAAAAATGTTGGTCAGCTTTTTCAGGATAATTTACTAGGAGTATCTGTAGTTACAAGGGATTTTTGAATCTTCATATTCCATGTAAAGGGGAAAGTATTGCAGAAATGTGACTTAGAAAAGAAAGCAGAACTTGTTCAGGAGTTTTCCCTGTTCCTCCCCCAATATTTGGTTTTTGGAGTAGGCTCTTCCTGCCAAAACTCCTCTCAGTGTTTCTAGAAATGTAGAAAACAGTTGCTTTATAGACTACTTCAGCTCTTGAATTAATGAAAGCCTTCTTTGTCCATAGTTCTGTATTCAGGAAAAAAATGCGTTTTAGTACAGAGTTTTAATAGAAAAATAAGCAGGAAAGAAGAGGTGGAGTTGAAAAGAAAATAATTATTCCTTCTTACGGTGCTCCATTTTAAATCTGCATGAGCAGAATGTGCAGTGAGTTTTAAAGTGATTCACTGTTAAGTTATAGCTGTAAACTTTCAGATTTTTAAAACAGTCAAAAGAAGTTTGCAGCAGCCTGGGAAGCTGTAAGTAACTTCATCTGCACAGTCACTAGAGTGATAAATGACATCACCTACTTGCTTGCTCTGCTGGTCATGATTTCAGTCTCTGTGTTCTTTGTCAGTGGTGCTCCTGAGACAAGAAATGTTAAAAGAATGGAATGTGCTGTGCTTCCTTCCCTAGGGTTTGGTAGTGGAGGTCCAGTTGCCAAATACTCAGCTGACATGTCAGTGTCACCCAGATTTTAGTGCAGCATTGACACTAGTTCTTTGGAAGCAATACAAGAGCAACTGATTGGTATTTACCAGCTGCATGTATCCAAATCAATGGTCATTGCAGGCTGATAGTGACAAGACACTGTATTTTATCTTCAGAACATAGAAAACTAGTGGCAGTAGAACCTTAAATGGTTGTTTGAAATTAGGATGATGGCATTGCAATTTATCCATCAGTCATGAGAGAGCAAGGGGAAATTAAGTTGGCATCATAAGGGATCAGAGCTGAGCTGTACCTAATACCATTTGGTGTTTCTGAACCAGAAGTTTTATGCCAGGTAGATATGAACTGAAATGAGATATAGACAGTAAAAAGAAAGTCAAGGAATTTGGTTACTGCCTAAGACAAAAGATTACCTCCCCTTTGAAAGATTTTTAGCAAGGCTTCATAAAAGAATGATAATATCAATGGAATGGTCAAATCTCTCCCTGAATGTGAAATTTTTTTTATCATTTATATCTTCATCTTTATTTCATGGCATTTTTATAAAATTTGTGGTCTATTCTTCTGAATAATCATTTTTGATCTTCTTTCAGTCCTTCAGTTTGACATCCTTAAAGTGAAATCCTCTGATTTGATGTGAATGCCCCCATGTCACAGGTTTTAGAAGAGATTTTTGATAGGCCTTTTCACTATTTGCAAATTGGAAATGTTTCAGTTGTTCAGTAATCATCATATCCTGTAGTAATTGTCATCAGTGACTGGATTTCAGGTGGCAGCTGATTGCCTTGAGATGGTGACTCAGTGGTGTTTTGTTAATTGCCAGGCTGTTGTTTTTCTCTATCTGTTTCTCTCATTTACACCCTTCTATAGTTCAGTTTTCTTTTTCTACTTTAGGCATCCTGTCTGAAAGCATCAATCCCATCTAGCTGGTAAATCCATAGAACAGAGAAAATATAAAGGACACATTAAAATGGATGAGGAGCTTAATGGTGAAGCTGAGGAATGATTTTTATCCTGAAATGCTGCTAATGGATTAGTTATTGGTGTAGTTTACCTAAAGTTCATTTGATGATATCTGGGAACCTGCACAGCCTGCTCAGCAATAAGTAACCAGTGCTTACTCTGCTCTTGGAATTTCAACTTCCATTTCTGTTCTTCCCTGCACACCTTAATAACAAGCTCATATTTATATTCAATATAATATGCTATTACCCTCATCCCAACCCCCAGAAAATCTCATCTAAATACATCTTGTAGTTGGTAGGGTTTAGGGATTTACTGTACCCAAGTTTTTCTCAGATCTTTGCAAGAGTCTGTCCTTACTGTTTCAAAGACAGTTTATTTTCCAGTGCTTCATCTGAGTCTTCCCACACTCATCACTGCTGCTAGTGGGATATTGCTCTCTGAGATACCTCAAGACTGTTTAGTGATTATTGCATTAAATACTGACTCCAGGTGGTGAGGATTTTGCTTTTACTCTAAACCTTCTCAGCAGAAGTTTTGATAATTTATATCTCTCTGCAGCTTTTGACAGTGTAACAGAAAAGAACACTTAGGAATTTTCTTCTGTTTCTTTGGAAGTAGATCTCCCATGATGAGTAACAAGGAGCAGGATTCAGAGTAGTTCATGGAATATTGAGAGTGATTATCCTTCAGTGCATTACCCTTCTTATGGCATAGAAATACTTATTTCTAATGGATGTGAAGTTGAAGGAGGAAGAGAGATTCTTCTAAATGTTTGCAAACTTTAGCATTAAGGATTTTCTTAGAATTGTTTCAGTTGTGGATAAGATTAAGAATTATTTCTCTGTTCTGGAACAATTGTAAAAAAAATAGATATGTAGAAGTAACAAAATGGATTTTCTGAGTCTGGGGAAAAAGAAATCACCTTCCCTACATCTTCCTGAAAATATCAGCTGGATTTCCAGAGAGAGGTACTCCTGTGGGAGTGCCAAGCTTACCTGGTGTGCCTTATGGCAAATCAGATAATGGGTTTAAATCAGAATGTGTGGTGGGCACATTTGGGTATGGGGGAGGAGGAAGAGATCAGTCTGACACCGTGGTTGTCTCTAGGCTAAGCAGTGGGGAGCCAGAATTATTGTTAAAAAGAAAAGTACTGGCCAGGACATTCCAGGGAATATCTGAAATGTTTTTCCTCTGTTATCACAAGGGGCAGTGGTAGATACTCAGCTCAGGGGGCTTCATCTCTTTGGAAGGAAGAGACCCAAAGAGGGAGATGCAGCTTTCTGAGCCAGCTGTGGTGCTTCTACCTCAAGACCAGGGCAGTTCCCTGTGGGCAAAGCAGCTGGTATGAGAACAAGAAATAAAGCCCATGGCTGTGCCTTCCTAGGGAAAGACAGTCAGTTTTGTTCACATGAACACTGTGTGTAATAGGTCTTGAACTTGGCCTTGTTTGTGTGTTCTCTCTCTCTTTAGCAGGGCTTGCATTTTCTCATGCTCCTTTATATGAAATAGAGGTTCAAAACAAACCAACAACTCACTTCACATTAGGAGCTTCTGTAGAAAGTACCTCATTGAAATAACCTAGAAATAACCATACCATTTCTGTATTTTGGCTTGTTTTGTATTGGTTGGGTTTTTTCCTCTGATGGGTACTTAAAAACTTCTTTTCATTTGCAGTTTAAGATCCTAAATGTACCAATGTCTTCCCAACTTGCTGCAAACCATTGGAACCAGCAGCAAGCAGAACAGGAGGAGAGAATGAGGATGAAAAAGCTCACTTTGGATATCAATGAACGGCAGGAACAAGAGGACTACCAGGGTAAGAAAATAAATCACCAAAGATTTAGTTCTTATTCTCAGGAGAGCCTCTGTGCATCTGCAGAAAGCATTATTTGTGATGATTAGGAGCTGAAGTTCTGAATATTGATTTGCAGTCCTTATGGGAAACCTGTATTTTGGTTTTAGTCATTTCTTGTTTCCTCCCTGGTCTTTATACTTGAAGAAGTTTTTGTAGCTGTTCCATGAATAAGAATTTTCAAGTGGGTCTCAAATTTCAGCATTTTCATTTATTCTGGGAAATGGGAAGAACTGAGCTTGTTCTTTAAAATTAAGGTAATACAAAATCAATGTGATGTTTACTGCAAGGCAGTTGAGTTGGATCCAAGATGAATGCTATGCAATTTAAGCTCTGCTTATAAACTATTAATAGGTGTTCTAGATATTACTAATATTTAGGCTCCTTAGTCTTGCAAGTCCTGTAACTTCACCAGAGAAATCTAAAATACCACCTCAGCTTTGTATTGTAAAGGTTCTAGGAGTCCTCAAATCTGGAGTGTAAGCCTATATTAACAAAGTGAGAGTTTTGTGCAGATTACATGATTAATTTGTGCTTTGAAGACATGCAAGTCAGACCCTTTGGAAGCTGGGCAGATGGAAGCAAACAGTTAATCCAGCAGATCATGCAGTCCCCAAACAGGTGCACCTCATGTGTTTAGTTGTTGGGTGGTTTGTTTTGGGTTGTGCTTTTATTCACATTCAGCTTCCCTCGGCCTACTCAGATAATAAACAAAGCCAGACCCATGCAGCTGATGTCTTATGTTACTGTTTCCATTGAACATCTCAGAAGTTTTTGCTCTGCTTCTTTTTGTAAAGGTGTTGTAGTCTGGTGGTAATCACAGTGTAAGTAGTTAATTAGCAGGAAATCTCATTTAAGGCATTTAGTGAAAGGTCATTGTTCATCAAGAAGTGGGAAATTAAAGCAGTTTTAATTTTAAAACACTGCAATCCAGTACTTCTTGCAGATCTTCTATAGTACCAGAATTAAACTTGTAATTGTAGAAAGGAGTATCTTCCAAAGTGAGTGTCTGCAGAGCTCTGAAGTGGTGACACAAGATATTCTTAGTGTTGAACATGGTAATTAGCAGAAACTTTCCTGAGACACTGCTCTTATAAAGCCCTTGTTAAAAAGGTAGAGAGAGACTCTAGAATTAGACATTTTAGTGCTTCTCTCAGACTTGTTCTGGGTTTTTCCTCATTAGATACTTCTAATATTTCTACTGGTCAAGGCATTTGGGTTTTATACTGTTGTATGACTTTGTTGATATCTAAAATGAGCCTGTTTAATCTAGGACATTATTGTGAGCAATTGTGCTTTATATCCAAAAAAGGATCACCTTGATTTATTTCTGTTGGACAAAATCAGAAAACTGATACAAATTGATATTTGGAAATAGGCTTTTTTAAAAATTTTCTCATAGATTTTTATTTAGTTGCTGTGTATAAAACAATACAGAAAGGAAGTCAACACAAAAGCAAAAGATTTTTCCATAATTGACATCCCTTTTTAAAACAGCTGTTGATGCATCTTAACCTGGGTAATATACAGAGTAAAAACCAAACTAAGAAGGACCTTTTAATCAGGCTAAATTAAATAGACCAAATTACATTCACCTTTGGAACAATATTTTATTTAGATTTAGTGCAGTTGATTGTTCCTTTTGAAGAATCATCCTGTCTGTGACAAGTTGGTAGCTACTCACTGAATGAAAGTGTTGGGTTTAAGTTTCTGTTTCAAGCTTTGAAGTTACTGAGTGAGAAAGAATTCTCAATTTCTGGAAGGATGCCTCAGGGCTGTCCCAGTGTTTGCACATGTACTTGTGCTTTTCATCTGCACAGGGTAGCTAATAGATGGAAATTCACCAATGTACTTCAAAGTAGTGTCAGATAAAGATTTAATGTTTCAGCAAGGCTTAGTATATTACAAAGATTTTTTAATTTAAAGAACTATTAGGAACTTGGGTGGTTCTCTAGTTTAAACTGGTACTTTTCTGTGCAGATTATTTTTTTTTCTTCACTAAAGAACCAAGGAGCTTTGGTGATGTGCCTTAGCTTGGAAAACACCCTGTGCTCCCCTGCCATCTCTGCCTTCTGTTACATTCTCCAGTTCTGAACTCCCCAGTCCCATATTTCCTTTCCCCTGCTGTGTGGCAGACAGAAGAGGCAGCTGTGCCTGTGCTTGTTCATTCAGTGCTTGCTGCTCCCCCCTGCCTGGCAGGGTGCCCTCACTGCTTTTCCTCCTGAGTCTCCTCACTGCCCCCAGAGCTCTCTGGGCTGTGTGGAAGGTGATGTTCCACGTTTACCAACATGGGCTGTCAGTGGCTGCCTTTGCCAGGTGCTGAATTCAGTGTACAGAACATGCATACAGGGCTCATTGACTGTTGGCACAGATACTGGATCAGTCACAGTTTCCCAATTTCTCCAGGACTGGGGGGATAACTTCACTGAACATTTCACCTGCATTCTGTAAATGGTGAGGGAACCTCATTAGAGTCTCTGGTTTGGCCCCACTGAGAGCAGTGAGTGTGCAGCAGGTGATGGGTGTGTGTCTCCAATGAGATTACCAGAGACTGGAGAACCAGACAGAGCAGACTTTCAAACATAATCTGTTTAACAGCTTATTCCACTTTTCCCCTTCATTTATCCCATCTGTCTGTTTGCTGAGTAGTGTAGATCCCTGCTCAGGTGGACTGTAGGAATACTTTCCATTAGATGTATTAACAGATTGGCAGAGGTTACCTCCTATGCTGTATCTGTAATTATATTGGCTACTTAATAAGCATTAACTTTACCCAGTAAAGAAACATTTTTTATCATTAAAAAATGAAATAAAGTTTTAGAAATTAAGTTTTACCAAATGTCAAAATACTATCCTAGTTTCAAATGCCCATAAGTTGGCTGTCCAGGCCTAAACTGAGTAGTGTGGGCTGCACTTCTGCACTTTTTTTTTTTTATTCCCACTGATGATAAAGTGAAAAACTCCATCCGTGGGACAGCTGGTGCAATGTAGGTCAGCTGAGTCACCTTCTTCAGGTGCCTGTCTTCCCTGGAAAATGATCCAATTATGCCAAGCTTAGGCTTAAATACCTGACTGGCAATGCCTAATTTTAGGACAGGTTTCTTGCTGAGTCTTTAATTGGCAGCAGCATTGTCCAGTTGTTACTATTCCGGGGAGGTTTAATGTGGAGGCCACTCGTGCCGCTGTGAGTCTTTGTTCCCAATCACTGACGAGGAAAGTGGTGCCTGATGTGTTTAGAAAGAAAAGGTTGCAGGTCTTTTCTCGAGCATCTGTGATGAAAACCATTGCTGGCAGTTCCTTCTGCAGGAACATCTGGAAATGCAAGTTCATATTGTGGGGTAGCTTGGGTTTATCAAAGCTGTGCATGCAGTTTGTAACTTTTTGTAATTAACTTACGGGGAATAATTTGAGCCTTAACTCTACAGCAAAGTGTGAACGGCAGTGAGATGTGCATGTGTAAATTCCTATGTAAAAATGATCCATAGAAAATGTATTGAACTTTCTTCTCTTTCCTTTTCTTCTGCCTGAAATCCCAGAAATGTTGCAGTCTCTGGCACAGCGTCCAGCTCCAGCAAATACTAATCGTGAGCGGCGGCCTCGTTACCAGCATCCGAAGGGAGCACCTAATGCAGATCTAATCTTTAAAACCGGTGGGAGGTAGGACAATCTTCCTTTAAATGTGGTCATTCTGGTTCTAGGCAAGTGATTATCTTCATAATTGAAAGAGATAATGATCTCTGTAGTGAGTGCTTGGACAGTCGTTTCCATTCTAAAGCATTCTCTTAAAATGCCAAGCAGTGTTTTGTGTTTCTAGCACAGTGTCTGTTTGGAAGCCAAAAGATTATTTTTCAGTTTTGAACTGGCCGCTAGAATGTGAGCCTCTGTTTGTAGGGCAAAAGATGCATGTCTGCTTTCTCCATGAGAGGGGGAGAGGATTGGTTAATTTTTTAGTGTCTGCAGAAATTCTCATGCTCTTTCTGTGGGGTGAATTTGACAGCTATTCCTCTGTATTTGATGCCCTGAATGGAAAGTAAATATAGTAAAGGTGGGGAAGACTGAGCAGAATTTTCAATTTATGGCTGTTAATCTGTTATCTTCAAGAGCTTGCCAAAACCAGCATTAACATGAAAAGAGTCATTCCCCATTGCTTAATAGTTGTTCTGAGGCTTTAGTGTGTGTCTTTTCTCACTCAGAGAAAGCTGGCAAATAAACATTAAATTAGCCCTGCAGCACACATTTGAATGGACAGAGCTTCGGTGAAATGCAGACTTGCTTTCAAGCTTCTCTTTTCTTTGCAAGTTCATTTTGAAGGTGGATTGATAGGAGCAGCAGCTGGGAAGGGACAGTTTACCTCCTAATGGAGGTAAACTGCAAATAAGTTAATGTAATGTACTATTTCTGTGTTCCAGTAGCATTTTCAACTTCTTCATGGTACATATTTATGTTCATTTGATAATGTCCTGATGATCACTCACTCCATTGGGACCTCATACAGACACTGCTTGTACAAAAAAAATTGAAAAAGATTGCAGTTTAAAAGAACTGTTTTTTTTAAAATGAACCAGATGAAACTCAATAAAATGAGCAGTGCTTTCCATTTAGCTTTTTCATATCACTGTGACCTAATGCTGTTGTAGGAATACAAAGTGTTCAGGTACACTGAATTGCCACAATATTTGCAGGTGTTTCATTAACAGCTGCAGCATTCTGCTCTTTCAGGCATGAGCTGCATGCTGCAGTTATTCTTTAAATACAACAGCCAGACCAGTAGATGTGATATCTGTAGATTTCTTTTAAATTATTTTCTTTAGAAAACTTTTTATATTGTGATGTTGTAGGGAAAATATAATTTAGGACTTGACTCAAGTAGGTCAGATGTTATCCAGCAAAGAGTTGGAGCAGTGTTTGCTTATTCAAGTGCCATGCACCTGCAGGTCTGATGTAGTTTTGTATTATGGAGTTTCCTCTTAATTGTTCCTTTTAATCCATAAGCTGCTTGGAACAGAGACCAGGAAGTTTGTTTGAGCAGGTATATTTTATTTGTTTGAGCAGGTATATTTTATTTTATTTTATTTTAAATGTTTGTACTGCAGTGCTCTGCCTGGCAGTCATGCATCAGTTGAGCCATCTCAGCCTGCAGTAAGGAACGAGGACTTTTCCTGAGTCCATTTATTTCTTGGAGGCCCTGGGTCCATCAATGGCTTCCCACTGGCACAGGTTCTCTGTTGCCTGCATTCTTAGAGCCTCTGATTTGTAGGATATATTGAAAATTGTCCTCTGACTTTACAGTTGCACTGCAGTCCCTGCCCAGACCCCCCTCATGCTTTGTGAAAAAGTTACCCTGTGATTTCTGAGGGTACTGGAGGGTCTCACTGAGCAGATGGGAGCTGTAAATTTTAATATCTGTGTAGAGAGGGTTTCACATTCCTGCCTGGTGGAACCAATGGGGTAACACAGGTGTTGTCATTTCCATGAGGACACTGTGTTGTGTTGTTGCTGCTTCCTTGTACATGAACACAACTGAAATGTTATTTTTCTTGCAAAATAACTCAATCTTACTGGCAATAATAGTTTGCTGCTTTCTTTAAGGTATACAACTTATTACTTTAAAATCCTTGAGTTAGGGGTAATCTAAGCAAATAAATCTCCTGGCTGATTCCATTGTAATGTACAATGTGACAGGTTCTGATAGCTGGGGTAGGAATGAGGCCTTTATGGCATTTCAGGGAGTGCTGAGAGTAGGAAAATTGATTTGTTGTTTTTACCTTTGCTTTTGTGTTGTTGAACATGCCCTAAGCACTGTGTTTCAAACACCTTCTAGGAAGTTAAATCCAAATCTATGTATTGTAGCAGCTCATTTCAGAATTTAATGAAGGGAGCATTGGGTTCTTTCATGTTTTTGGCCTTGAACAACTGGATCTCACTAAGCAATTAGCCCTCTAAATGTTTTTTAAAAAAGAGAAATCTTCTGCAGTTTTTACTTTATTTCTCCTCTGTCCATGTCCTTGTTCTGTACTAAAGTAAATGCAGTGAGATTTGCAAGCTTTGTCAGATTTATTATTATTTAGCATGTGCAAAATGCTGGATCAAAAATTGGAGTTTGTTTCTGTTTGTTTGGAATTGCCTGCTTGTATTGCCTCAGGTTTTGAGACCTGCTGGTCCTGTGAGGAAGAGATTCTTTCTGGGACTTGTACATTTAAGGCTGACTGGCCTTAAAGATAATTTACTGTGACTCCATTAAAAGTAGTGCTTCGCGATTTGCTTCAGCAGCACTGGGAAGAAAACAATTTTCTCTCTTGCCTCTGGTTCTGTAGCATTTGTGTGGTGAGAGAGGCCTTTGGCTCTCAGGCTACTAAACTACTACCTTCAAGAAACACAAAATTTACTAAAGTAATTTTTTTTGGTGATGGGATTATCATAAAAATTGACTGGTACCATTAGGAACAGCTTCTACAAACATAAAGTAGTTTTCCTTTGTTTAAGAGGATTGAGATCCATTAAATGGCTTGGTTTTAACAGTGAAATGAAAATAACCATATTATATAAAATAATTTTAAAAACATTGATTACCAAGAAAATCAAATTTTCTCCCTGTAATTTTTCTGTTGGAAGCAGGGCCTTACCAAGGATTTTATCTTGTTAAACCTCTCCTTATTAAAAGAAGTAGCCTCAAAATTTGTTCCTGCTTTGAAAGTATAGTATAGGGGCCTGCCAGTGTCCAGAGTTCCCCATGGGATGCAGGTACATGGTGGCAAACCAAATCATATTCAAGTTAAATGGTGATCTCAGGTCTCCTGTTTACATCTGACTCTTATTTCTCTTTAACCCATTTAATAAAGAAAAATGAAGCATGACAGTAATAACAGGATGCTGGGATTTTATTAGCTAAATATTCTCATCATAAAGAATATTGCATTAATGCTGAAAAATCAGAGTTCAGATAATAAGGAGAAATGTGAATTTAACCTGATTTCCTGTTTCAGCTGCTGGACCAACACAATTCATACATCACCTGTCATGAAGTTGATGCATTGACAATTCTGCTTTATGAAGCTTTGAATTCTCTTCTTACTGAGATGAGCCTTTCAAACACAGCTAAGAAATTCCAAACCCCAAATTTTCAGCTGTTTCATGGGAGGGAAGCAAAGGGAGGAATATGGGAGGGGAGCCCCAAATCCTTCTGGTGGACTGCACTGGGGCTGAGCAAATAAGAGTAGAATAGAAAAGCCTCAGGTGCCTGCCTGGGCAGGGTGGTGCTTGTTGAGCTCTGCAGGCAGGGTGAGAGTCTAACCCAGACAGCAAAGCTGGAGAGACACCTGATCACAGTTCATTTCAGAGAGATTAGAAGGCAAAATTGTATTTATAAGCCATGCTCAGTTAGAAAGACTCCTGTGTTTGAAAAAGGTTCTTTCAATATAAATAATAATAACTGCCTACCAAAAATCCCTGCAGCTCTGTGGCCCTCTGGAAACCAGCTACCAATCCCCAAAAAATGCCCAACCCACTGTGCACACTGACTTGGATTTCACTTTGTCAGAGCATTTTATTTTTGAGGGATAGATAAGAATACAAAATAACTCCCAGAAGTTAAGATTCTCTTACTTACTGGGAGTCCAGCTTGTGTGGTTTATTTGAATTTTGATGTTCACAGTATGGAATGTGATAAGTCAGATGTGATTGGTTTTTAATGGGCACCTTGGTGTTTTCTGTTTCTTGTTTGTGGCTTTGGGTGATTAGGAGAGAGAGAACAAAGAGCATGGAAGCTGAGATTAGCTGAGAAAAGCAAAGCAGGGAGAGAACTGGGAGAGGAGGTGTTTGGAGCTGGGAGTTTGTGAGATTTGTGCAGAAATGCAGCACTGCAGAAATGCAGAGTGTTGTGGATTGGAGGACATGAGGGATTAGGGATCAGTGTGAAATCCAAATTCAGAGGTCTCACATGTCAAGAAATAAAGAGATTTTTGTGATCTTGTGATGTCAGCAACATGCAGAAAGGAGTTGATTATTGCCATTCTCCTGGGCACTCCTCAGTTTAAGCTGGAAAGTTGTCCTGGCTGAGCTCTCCCAGCTTCACCCATGCCATGGCTTTGGGATGATTCCATAGCTGTGGTGTGATGTTTCTGTGTGTTTTCATGGCTTCCAGCTTTCTGCCCTGTCACAGCAGGCAGTGCTAATGCTCAGCAGTGGTGTCAGAAGCTGACTCTGAATTTCAGTGGCAGGAAGGGAGAGTGGAGGAGACTGCCATGAATTGATTTCTTTTACACATAGAGCTCAAGATGGTTTTAATTACATCTGTGTACTGAGTTTGGCCTTGCCAAATACGAGTTTGGATCAAGTTTACTAGGTTGGACACAAATGTGAAATACCTGGTTTGGGAGAAACTCCTACTGCTATTTTTGGCAGCAGCAGGTTGCTGTGATCCCCTGACACAGGGATCTGCCCCCAGCAGATGTGCTCTGGTAGCTGCTGGTTTGGGTGAGAGTCATTTTGACCAAGCTGGAGACATGCAGCCAGTCCCAGCCTTTTTCCTTCCCTCCCCATCAGCAATAGAGTTATTTTTTAATTAATAAAATTTAATAAATTTTAAGAGGAGATGGAGAGTTAAAAGCATGATCCTGCAATTCAGTGATGTCTGCCCTCAGTTGTGACCTTCTGCAAGTGAGATGTCAGTCTACTAAATAAATAAAAATTCAAGTTTTTTTCTACTGAAAGCACATAGCCAGTGTTCTGATGTTGGGTGTGCCACAAAGAATTGGAATATTATGTTATGTAACACTAACAGGTGGTTAAAACCAAATAATAGAAGCAGTGCTGTTCTAATGATGCATCAGCTCAGGACTTCCTGGCAAAAATACACAGCATTTTTATAGAAACAAATCCTGGATAGTAGAACAAAGCAATGCATGCAAATACAGGATTTGTGTGAAAGCTTCATCTGGTACAAGAGGTGCAGAAGTTGCTATGTCCAGATAACATATCTGTAACATTTTTCTTGCAAGATCTTCAGTAAAAACTAGGTTTAGATCAAATGACTGTTCAACAAACACTGGAAGATTATGCACTGATGTAAAGAAACATGAATTGTTGTGGTTACATGGTAAAAATTCTGGGTGTGTAGCCCTGGACCTTTCTTGGAATTGTAAATGTTGAAGTTTTATTTTGATGTCTATTATTAATTTTAATTTGCAACCTAAAATCAGCTAAAAAGGAGCCCAGATGGAATAACTGCATTGTGCTGAAGTGAGTGACACTGGGGTGGCCTTCCTGCTGCATTGCCCTGGTCTTGTTGAATCCCCTGCCTACAAACTGGTGTCATTCTTCAATGTCATTCTTGTATGTTCTTAAGAAAATGAATGTGACTTTTGGTCACGTTTTGGGATGTGTTTCATGGGCAAGAGATGGTGGAAGATTTAAATGCACCAATTGACTCTAAGAAAGGTTCTAACCAATTATTTGCCTCTAGAAAGCCCTTTGTAACATTCCTGCAGAACTTCTAAGCATTAAGAAACTGCACAAAAAGATGAAAACTATTTACAATAACTTGTTTTTTCAGCAAATTCACAGCTGTGCTTCAGTAGTTCAGCATCTCATCTGCGATGATAAGGTGCATGTGAGAAACAGCTCCTCACTTTTCATAGTTTAGGAAGGTTTATTAAACCTTATCAAAAATACAACAGAAGACTGAAGAGAGAAAAAAGGGAGCAAAAGATTTTCCTTGCCATGTGCTCAACCCCCTCACAATGGAGGTTTTCCATTTTTAACCCCTTAACCCCTCCCAAAGTTCTGTCCTTCTTCGCTGTCCAGGGGTGGAGATCTCTTCCTCAAACCCTGATTGGAGGTCAGGTGTCACCACAGTGACAAGCCAGGTGACCCTTGGTAACCATGTGAGGGGGTACAACATAACTATAAATCTATAAAACTTTTCTTAACCTGTGTCCATGATATTTGTCTATTAATTGTGAGAGTCAATCATTGCATTACTCATCTATCACATGCAGATTATTCCCCTGCTTTTGTCTGGTGAAATGGTTGTGCAGAAAAGAGCAATATGTGACTTTGAGGGTAAAAAAAGTATCAGAATGAGTGGCAGCTGCTCTTGGGGCCCCTCAGATCAGGCTGATGTGATTCCTCTCTGTGCTCTTCCCTCAGGAGACGCTGATCCAGCCGCCAGTGTCATTTCATTAGGTCCTGTATCTCTGGTGTTGTGGAGTCCTCCAGCGATTAAACGAGAGCAGTGGACACATCTCAGCATGTCAGCCTAGAGCGTTCAGAACCGAAACCTGGGACAGGCTGGGGCCGTGGGGCACGAAGAGCAGCCTCCCCTCTCCCCCCCCACCCCCCCAAAAAAAGCTTTTTGTTATGGGAACCGCCTTGAGGGTTAATTCTTCTCCCAGGAGCAGAAGCAAACGAGCGAGATGGGGAACTTGACCTGCGAGCAGCTCGGCGAGAGCCGGGAGCAGCTGGGAGTTCAGCCGCTGGCACTGGAAGGGGAAAGGCCTTGGGCAGCTCAGCCTGCAGGGAAATAAAGCTCTGAACTCGCCACAAGTTACGTTGTCTCCGACTCGAGCGCTTGGTGTTGGAAGGATGTTCTTGGGGGGCTGCAAATCTGCGCTAGAAACGCATAGAGCAAACAGCAAAATGCAGAAGAAAACCCTGCCGAGTAGGATCACTTCTCAAACACTCCTCAGCCAGAATGTTCTTGGTTAAGGAAGAGCCTTTTGCTGCCAGATGTGCCAGAAAGGGGGTGGGGAGGGGTGAAAAACTGAAGAGCCAAGGAGGTAAAAATGTCTGTTAAGGTTTAAAATAGCAAGTGAAGTTGATGAACACGGGGTGTTGACTCGTACTGCTTGGAACAGCCTGACACCAGCCTAAGGACAGGGATATAGTTGAGCCCATTGTATGTATCATTGAAAACCAAAACGTGCCAGTCAGCATAACAGGAGGATGTCAAGGAGTGGATCCAAATATTTTGTTGATCTTCATGGGTTGATAAGCCTCTGTGTCTATTGAAACAAACAAAAAGTTAAAAAAAAAAAAAAGATTTAAGTCTGGAAACAAGTAGAATTTTTATTTTTTTCTAAGTAGAAATGAGGTTTCTTGGTCTGTTTCTGACAATCTGTTATTTATTAGCATAGGGTTTTGTTTGCTTTCAGGTAGAGGTAGTTCATTGAGTTCAAGAGCCCATCTGTATGTTACTACTAATTCTTTTTTCTAGCTCTTTTAAAATCCTTTTTACCACTGGTTTTGGTTTCTGCATGTAGGAAGAGAGACTTGTAAAATTGTAACATTTCATACAGAAATGCCGCCCGATCTTCACCAGCTTCAGAAATCTGACCTTTGCCAATGCTGCAATAAAGTGTTGTAATTTAGAGTCAGTGTCTGCCTCTTGACATCCACTTTGTTCTTTGGAAATGATGTTTTGAAGGGTTTGTGTCTATTGTGGGCTGTAGTTTGGACAGGAATTCCAGGTCTCTGATTCAAGTCTTATGTGATTTTTTCATGTAGTTTTCTTTCCACATGAAATTCATGGGTATGTTCATTAATTAGGTTTGGAACTCTGAGCTCCTGCAGGAACCTCTCCTAGCCCAGTATGACCATATCCCCTGGTCAGTTTCCACTTCCTCAAACAACACTGCCTACCACTTCCTAACACCAAATGAAGCATCTAATTGTGGTTCAGACAAGGGTCAGCTTCCTTTTCTCAACATGTTGCTTAGTTTCAAAAGCATTTAATTTATCCAGATTGAGTAACTGCATAAAAATAAAATATTAGCTCTGTTTTCTATGTGTCAATCCAATGCCTTGGATGGCATTGGGATCAATGGAAATGTCTTTATAAAATTATTTACTAAAGGCAGTTTAGGGTCAGCTGGTGATTTTCCTGACTGCAGACTGAAATTGAAAAACAGTTCAGTGAAACCTTTTGAAGTTTAATTTTAAAATTAATTATTCTAATGTTGTGCCAAATAAGAACCTTAAAGATCATTGTGAGTGAAATAATCAGGGTTGAATGTACAGGGCCAAACCTTTTAGGAGGGCCTGTTGCAGTAGGACAAGGAGTGATGGTTGCAAACTAAAAGAGGGTTGACCTAAATTAGATACAAGGAAGAAAATTTTTACAGTGAGAGTGATGAGACACTGGCACAGATTTCCCAGAGAGGTGGTAGATCCATCCCTGGAAACAGGCAAGATTTCAACCTGATGTATTTGAAGCTCTCCCTGCTCATGAGCTGGGTGACTTTTAGAAGTCCCTTCCCTTCCAACCCAAACCATTCCATGATACACAGAAAAAACCCCTTTGCATCCCCTTTATTCTCACCTTTCCTTGTGCTGACCCCACATCTCATGCTGTGGCTGGATGCTGGTGCCACCTGATCCTCGTGCAGTTCTTCCTGCAGGGTGTGCATGGCTCCCTCTTGTATCCTCAGAAAACTTTGCCTTCCTTTGGAGGGTGTTTGATTAAAATTGTTGGCTAAGCAGCCTGGGATTGATACAGGATGGGGAATTTTGTTTTGCCTCTGTTTTGATCAGTGTCTGTCACCTAGGAATATTGCTGCTTTACCCAGATTACAAGATGTTTATTTGAATTAATGAAATGATGTTTGATGTCATTGCTTCTCTTCCCCTGCAGTGCAGTGACCCACAGGTGTATCTGGTCACTGGGGAAGTCATCCCCAATGCAGACAGTGGCACTGTTGGATGTTCCCTGGGAGCCTTTCTCACAGGATGCTGGTTGAAGGTGCCCTTGCAAAGAGCATTTCTGCAGCAGTGCTCCTGACCCTGCAAGTAAGGAGTTAAGTCTGGGAGAACATATGTAGATGAAGGAGAAACTGTCTCATGGCTTTGATTACGTAAAGATTTCTGTTATCTTATCATTCTGTGGAAGAATTTGGGTGAAAGTCAGGCCCTGGCATTGGAGTTGTCTTCACTGATGTGAGGCTCCTTGAGCTGACAGACAAAGTGTGCTGTGCAAAGGTTTGTACAAAGTGTGCTTTTGTTTGTGTAGGTTTGTACTCAACAGTTGTGCCTCAGTTTTTGATGGTAACTTCTCTTCCCACATTTCCCAAGCCTCCAAAGCTCAAGGCAGGGACTTGGGGGAGTGAAATCCTTCCTGTCACAGGGGACAGGTTTGTGACCACCTGAGGAGCCTGAATGTGTCTGAGTCCACGGGACCTGCAGGGTCTGAGGCCATCCCAGGCTCCTGTGAGGGGGCTCTGAGCAGCCTGGCCTGGTGTAAGGGGTCCCTGCCCATGGCAGGGGGTGGAACTGGATGAGCTTTAAGGTCCCTTCCAAGCCAAACCATTCCATGATTTATGGTGCATCACTTGGAAGCCTCTTGGAGCAGAGGTGCTGTGTTGGTCCTTGCTCTAGGATGGAGCCAGGATGTCTGGGAAGCCCTGAAATTGGAATTTGACCCAGGAATGCCAGTACTCACAGGCAGCACCTTGAACTCCAGTTGATGGTAGGGGGTATCTTTCTCTACCCACAATGATGTAATGAGTTTAAAAAGCTATAAATCTTTTTTCATGAATTGCTGAGTTTGCAGACTTGCTGTAATCTCAACTTCCCAGGCCTTCAGCATAGAAAGCTCTTGGGCTGTTTCTGTTATGGAGATACAAATATAAAGCACATCCATGCACATGGGCTGCAGCACACACAATTTTATGTAAATTCAGCTTAGAAAACCACCTCTATTGTGGAGCCTGCCTGCTTTCCTCAAGCTCTCAGCATTTTTCCTGTGGCTGTTCCAGCAGGGCAGTCCCTGTGCTTGGCAGGGCAGCAGGATGGGCTGTGAGGAGCTCAGGTGCTGTGAATCCTCACCAGGCTGAGTGGATGTTTTCAAAATCAATCCATCCATAATGATGCCGCAAGCCAGCTGTTGCCCCCTGATAAATACATCCATTTGTTCCCCATTTTTTCCTTTCTTTGAACTTCATCACTGATTTGCTCCACACTGAGGTTTTCCTCAGCCATGCACTCTTGTGCCCTGTGGAAAGTGCCCCTCTGAGGTGACACTTTGCTGTCTCTTCTCAGAGGTCCACTATAAATAGGGTTTTTTCCAGCTACTCCTAAGGAAATCCCAGTCTACTGGGAACAGGAAACTATTTGAGCAGGAATCAAACAAATGAGCAAATGTCAAAATATTTACTTGCATTGTTTGAACTATAAACTTTGCTTTTAAGTTATTATTGTTGGGGTGTGATTGTGCCCTTAAAACACTTTGTGTTTATGATCCCTGTTAGAAGAGCAAACAGTGTTCTGCAAAAAGCCTCTCTCCCTCCCTCCTTCCTTCCCTCCATTACCTGGATCCAGGCAAATAAAAAAATGATTGGGACACTTAAAAAGGAGGAAGACATTTAGCTATTGCTAATGTTTATTTGTTCCTTGACATTTACCTGCAGGAAGAAAGTTTCTGTTGTGCAGGGGATAAAGGGGGGTGACGTTTGCTGCTGAGAATGAGTCACTCAACAGCCCAAGAGCTTGAAAACTTTGCTGTATTTACCCCTCAACTGTTTTGGTGGTGGTTTTTTTTCCATTTTTAAATTATTTACACTGTATATATTATATACACATGCACACACATCTATCTGTTCATGGTTAACTAAAAATCAGAAGCTCTCCTGGGAAGCAAGACTTGAATGTGTCAGTGAGGCTTGGAGAACCCACCTGGAGGGAGCTTTGGGCTCGCTGCTGTATCAACCCCAAATTGAATTGCTGGGAGTTGCCTCCCTGGGGTGATGGAAGTGAAGATAACCAAGTCATGAGAGGGAGCTCAGAGGCAGCTTTGGCTGTGCTTGTCTCTGCTCTGAGCAGCTTTTCCAGTGGTGGTGGGAGCTTGGCTTCCTCCTTGGGCTCAGGGCAGGAAGAGCCTTTTCCTGGAGGAAGACACAGCTTCAGTCCACTCCTTTCCAGGAATCCAGCTGAGCTGTTCCCAGCAGACACCATTGCTCACCCCTCCTGGGGCAGATCTTCTTTTCCAGTAGGAAGATGGACACAGCAGCAGGACTCTCACAGTCTAACCCTCCCTTTCCTACTGAAATTCCTGAGAGGGGTAAATAAACCAAGTTTATTTTTCAGGTTGGACCCAAATCCCACACCCATGAAAACCAGGAGTTTATTACTGGCTGTGAG